GTCATTTGTTCCAGTAGGTCGTCTCTCTCTCAGAGGTCATCAGCTTAGTCTATACAATACTCACTGTCATTTGTTCCAGTAGGTTGTCTCTCTCAGAGGTCAGCTTAGATTTGTCCTCCAACAAACTTTCATTTTCAGACTCAATGTCAGTCACTCTATCCTCCAAGGTCGAAATCTTTTGTTCTGGAGATCCAACCAATGCAGGATCTAACAGAAAACAGAGAAAAAACATTGAAATTGTTCACCAATGAGGTGTAATATAACAATCAGCATGCAAAATCTGAAAAGATTTTCCGAAATTTCTTGTTTGATTCTTCAAGAATTATATTTTTCTGTCTATTAGGAATTGATCATTACTGCTCTCCAATATTCAGATCCTGTCCTAATTAATAGTCAACACATGAACGTTGCTTTATTACCTGTTTCAATACCAATTAATGATAATCATATTCCATAAACATTACCTGTTTCTTAAAGGCTAAGTTTGTAGTTTCGTAAAGGCTAAGTTTGTTGTTTCGTAAAGGCTAAGTTTGTTGTTTCGTAAAGGCTAAGTTTGTTTGAACACAAACAGGAACTGAAAACTTATTTTGTGAGCTTTTGAAAACTTGTTTCCTATGTAAAGCAAAGAGTGTGTGATTCTACACTTTTTGCTTGACAAAGGAAACAGACGTTTTTAAAAACTCGTAAAATAAGTTTTCAATTCCTGTTTGTGTTCATTATTCCGAATATACCTGTTCCTGTCTTGTTCTTCTCCAGTTTCTTCAGTAACTTCTTCATGTCTTTTTTCATTCCTCTGTTCTCTTTCTTCAACTCATCCAATTCCTTGAAAAAAGAGCAACATTAAAAAGGTCAAATTTCTTTTCATCCTCTATGTTTTCCTTCCCTTTATATTTAGTGGTACAATTTTTCACAGCAATTTTTCATTGTAATTATGAATATGCAGTACATGGAACGGGTCATGCTATAAATATATATATTTCACAAAAATTATCTGAGTACGATTCTATGGGACAGGTTTGTCTTTAAAACTCTCTGAATGAAAACTAGAAATGTAAAAAAATGAATGCTACCATGCCCTGTGGTTGACCTATACATAGAAACAAGGACACTGGCCTTAGTGTTGACCGTGGTACCTGATATCAAACTTATCCAAGGTACTTTCAGACTTGACCTTTGTATTAGCGTTGAAGAAAATCTGTTAAGAAATGAAGTTGGTAAAGTAATGGCAAAGAATTTCCTCAGGACGGGAAATGAGTTACACTAAATCCCTGCCCCCTTAAAAATTGCACCAGCATAAAAGTCAGCTTCTGAATCATTTGTAGACGTTCACTTACAGCACTGCTAGCCCCAGCAGCTGCCGTAGCTACAGCAGCAGCCTTCAATGCAGCAATCTCGTGTTCCAGCTCTGTAATGCGGTCTCTCTGCTTGGAGAGCTCCTCATTCTGCTGAGAAATCTGAGAGCTCTGGTTCAAGTTTTCCTGCTGCAGCTCCGAGATCTGTTCCCTCAGTTTACGCATTTCATCATACGATGCCTCCAACTGTACCACTATTGCTGGATCTGGTACCTTTATCTGTGTTGGAATGTTTTTCTTTAGATTATTGCAAAAATTGTTTAAATAAAAATACACAAAGTATATTGCTAAATAGCTTGTTCTGTTTAGCATGCAAAGTCATGCTAAAAATAGTTCTAGCTAATTAATATTAACAAAAAACAAAAAGATGATAATGATATAGATAATGCAAAATACAATTAGTAGTTGGGGAAATAAGTGAGCTACATTTGTTTATGAGCAAAGTTTAATTTTGAAACATTTTATCAAAACTGTTTAAGCACTTGAATTAAATAGTTGCATTGAGCCAGTACAGTCTTTATATTAACGCTACTCTGAATGTGTCTCCTGCTGGATAACCTAACTACTTGGTAGCGAATCTGACATAAAACCACTCAAACAAACAAACTGGATTGAGACAATTACCTACAGGTTTTAAAGAATTGAAATCTGCTGTGGAAATCTCAATCAAAATCACAAGTCCATTGTTTCCCTCCTTCCAGTATTACATGAAATTTTGTGACAATAAATGATTTTGATAGAGACCAATATGACCTTGACCCCTTACCTCAATAGTCTGCACTTCAGGGTCCTTGACCACAATAGGAACGGGAGGCACTTCAGGGGGATCTGGAATTTTTCCCTTTTCTACTTTCTCAAAAGTATCCAGCTTTTTGTCAAGTGAGGTCACCATGGTAGCTAATTCTTCCTTCTGCACATATAATTCTTTCACAGAATCTGGCCTAGAGTATAGAAAAGGTTTTGTTAAGCTTGATGGCTTGATCATATAGTAATTGATTTTCTCAGCCAACACTTATTTTTACTTCTAACTTGCATTTCTTACAACACTTATAAAGAACACATATTTCTTAGAAGTTGAAGATAGGTGACTTTACTAATAAGTTTGGTATAATTTCTGATATATTTTGAATAAAAGAAAATTTCAGCATTACAGAATCAATGTCATGCTGCCATTCACTCAGCCCTCGTAACATAGACGGAAATGTTTTGAAACTAAATTTTACAAAAAACAGGCTTCCCTCTTCTACTATTGGTAGTTGAGGTTGATTAAAAGAAAGCAAAGTGGTCAAACAGTCTGCTTTGAGATTTTCTGCTTTATGTTTTCACCAATCATCAACCAGTCGTGGTACCTACTTGTCGTCGTCGGTGGAGGGCCGGCCATTCTTCTGGACGAAGTCTTCCTCCCACTGTTGTATCTCCGTGTCTGTCCTGTCCTGTTCCACTATCATCATGTTTTTCTCTTCCTTGGTCTTCTTGGCATTATCCTACAAAAGATATGTGACTTGTCAACACTGTTTATATTTTTCATCCAAGTACAGGCAAATTTCGCAACTTATTTCTAAATCATTTTCTCATCTTCTGATAAAAAAAAGTCATGTGTCATGACCACATTTTCTTTCATTATTTTATCTAAAGTACATGCATATAACTCCAAATCATTTCTCGTACATATTTACACATAAAAGCAATTGTTTTCAAGTCAAAATGTCAGATAATAAAAAACCTATGTGAGCTCTTTAAAATAGACCTTTGCAAATCACACGAGGTTTTAGGTTTTTCATGTAATGTATTTATTGGAGCCCATTTTGTACCTCAGCAAGTTTCTTGGACGAGTCTGATGCTGCAACGATAGCAGCCATAGCCAGGTACTGGTCCTCCAAGGCCTTGTATTTAGCATGTAGTGTTGCACTTTCTTCCAGCTGTCCCTTCATCCCTGTGTATTTGGCCTTCCACTCAGCATTCTCCTGAAAGTGTTGTTAATACTTTCCAATATTCTTAGCAAATATTCCAGAGAATTTAAACTCACACCATGATGTTGAAATGACAGTGAACCTGATATTTTCAACTGGTTTACCAATTCAGATATTCTGTACACTGGGAAATGTTTGCCTCGTCAAAAATTTACTCTTTACTGACAAATTCCATATTTCCCTAGTAATAATTTTGCCCTTTACACACTTTAATACAAATATTTACAGTGAAATTGTCTACATGAGAATAGCACACTCAGTGAGTCAAAATACAATTATTTCACTTAGTCTGTGAGATAGCCTACCTTAGTGTTGACAGCCACAGCAAGCTGGAGAGCTTTGATCTCGTTCAGCCATTCTTGACGCTGATTTTCAAACCCCAATCTATCGTCTTCCATCATCAACCTTTCATCATCGTACTTCTGTCTCTCATCTTCCATCTGATCCCTCTCATTGGAAATCCTTGATTTTTCATTATCACTGACCACAGCAGCGGCCATTAATGGTGCAGTTGTCTTGGCTACCTCTTTCTGCTCCTCTTGTTCAGACTCTGTATCCCTGGTTGCTACGACAGCGGCTGCAGTCACCGCAGTTGCACTAACAGATTTGCTTGCAGTCAGTTCGGCTTGAAGTCTTGCAACTTCTGCTTTTTGAGCATCAAGCTGGACAACCACAGCCTTCAATAAATAATTAACATAGCATGCACTTGAATATCATCAGATATTTTAATAACATCTAGATGACACTTAGAATAGTTGGCATTAAATGACTAGAATTCTAAAACAACTTTACAAAAAAACCTTTACTTAGCTAAATGTTTTTAAAACATATTAATCAGAAATTCAAAATGTGCGGAGAGATGGAATAATATTCTTACTTGTTTACAATAAATAACGTAGAGAAAGTGCACTGTGTGAAAACTGATTTTCCAAATGTCTGACTGTTTCATATTCTGTGTTTGCGTATTGCAGAGTTATCTTCTCTTGTGAGCAGGTATTGATTGTTACGTCATTTGTTTGTGAGAGTAACGTCATCAATTTTTGAGAAAACGGATTAATTTTCTCACACAAACCAATGACGTAACAATCAGTACCTGCTCACAAGAGAAGATAACTCTGCAATACGCAAAGATGGAATAGTTAGGATATAGTATCCCAAAGATGCATGAAAAAATAACCAGAAATTGTACACACGGAACATATTGCTATTAATGAAGATTTATGGCATTCGTATGTTAATATTGTATCTTACCTTTAGTTCATCAGCAGTACCAGTGTCTCTCTGAGCTATAAGGTGAACAGAGAAATATTATACGAATTATACATAATAGAAAAATAAATTAAAAGTTTACAGTAACTTATGTGAAGGTCAATGTCACAACTTGACATAACAACTTCACTTTTTCCAAAACAGTAAAACCGTGCTATACTGCCAACATTTTTCAAGCCAGATTTTGGCGGTATAAGGGAGTTTGGTGATACAAGGAGATGTAAAAACTTGAGAAAAATCCCTCAAGTACTTTCTTCTGAGAAATAGCACTAACAAACTTTAACTCTCAAATTTCAAGATGGCTGCCAGTTAGCTATTTTGATTTTGAGATCGGTCCCAAAATTCAAAATGCCTTACTAGGGACCACGGGGAACCTTCAAGTAAAACTTGAGAAAGAACCCACAAGTACTTTCTAATAAACAGCGCTAACAAGAATTATTTAAGGATAGACGGATGTACCACGGACCACTGACAATGGGTGATTCAAATAACCGGCCATCTGATGATGGTTGGTTAATGAATTATACAGATGTAAACTTGGGTATTTATCATACCTGCGATGAGGGCAGCATTGGACTTATCCAGTTGTTGAGTGAGCTCTGTCTGTACCTCTATCTAGTAATACAATAAAAGGACATGTAATCCATACAAAATTATAGAAAATGGGAGATGGGGACGTCTGATATATGGTGGTCTCATATTTAAACAGTTTTCAAACCCATTTTTGAAAGCATTAGACTAAGAATTGATGATTTTTTTATACGACTGGGTAAAGGTACAAATTGAATAATAAATAAAATCAAAATCTGCATACTATTTATATTCGCATTTATCCATTGCTAACAAACTTTTAATAAGCTGAACATAAAAATGTATAAAGTTTCTCATTTACATTTCACATATCGTAGTGATGCTTACAGTCTTGATCATTCATTAGTGCTGCCCATATATAATTCTAAATATCATATGATGTTTTATATTAAATGAAGTCATTAATAAATTCTTTCTCTCACAACTTTCAAGAAACAATCATTTGAACATTTTTCCTCTTTTCAGATGAATGACTGACTCGCTCTTTCTCTATTATGATGAGTGATCATGACTTACTAAATATTTATACATTACTCACTCATTGTTAATTTATTCTGTGGAGAGACTCACTCATTATTTTTCTATTATGATGAGTGACTAACTCATTGTTAATCTATTCTGAGGAGAGACCCACTCATTATTTTTCTATTATGATGAGTGACTAACTCATTGTTTCTACATCCTGATGAGTGACTCATTCAATGTTTCTACATTATGATGAAAATATCACTTCTTTTTCTATTTAGATGACCCACTTACCCTTTCTTTCTCCAATCTTTCTATCTCGACTTTGTTTTGGATCAGTAGTACTTTCTTGTCTTTCAGAAGTCTATTGTTTCTCTCAGCCAAACTCTGACATTGCCAAAGAAAAGAGACAAAATTAATACAATATCACATCATACAATTTCATTCTTTTTGAAATACATATGTAGGTATTTGTTAAATTCCTTCTCTACTGTATTTAGTATTAAAGCTTAAATCTATGAAGTATCAGGCAATACAAAACAAGAAGCAGTCAAAAACACATAAAAATATCCAAATATACCAGAATATGGGTGTGTAATTCTACAAACCCAATTCCTGGGGCTGGTTTTGCTTGTATGTCAGGACTAGCAAAGATATATTATTAAAACTTGAAAAGTTTTTTGAAAAGCACGCCTACAGAAATTAACCTTTTTTTCTGAAAATTGTTGTTGACAATAATGTATTCGCAAAAACATGTTTATATATAGCCAATACAAATGAAAAGCCTCAAAATCAGTTTAACTACTTACGGCTAACATTTCGTTCCAGTAATCCTCCTTCTGTCGCAGGTCGACGCGATGTATATCAATCACCTGTTTAAATGTCTGAACCTTTCCTGAATACTGTGTTCTCAGGGCAAACACAAACAAGTTGAACTGCGACTGTAAAACATTGGGAAATGTCATTATGAATCATGATTATATAATACCATATATTTTCCATTACAGACCTTTAAAGAGTTATCATGAGATTGGTACATGGTATATTCTCAAAGTTGGCAGGAAAAGCTTTTTTTATATGACACTTACGGAAAAACCTATTTAACAAGAAGGGAGATCGACAGTGCCTTTATCACTGGTACCAGGGCCCACAAACTCAGATTCTGTGCTCAAGTCCAATTTCTTGTTCACATGATCAATTCATAAATATTCTCATTTTGTCAATAATTTTGGAAGAATATTGGATATATCAAAAGCCAAATACTGTTTTCAATGCTTATTATTGACTTTTTCTGTATCACATGATTTTAGGAAGTTACAAGAAAGTTGGCTTGAGCACAAAATGCATGCTTGAGCATAAGTACAGTTTAATGAATATGAGGCCATGGCCAGGTCATCTTAGAAATCATAAAAGAAGGAGAAGTTGACAAGTAAATGTCTATAACAATAGATATAAGTTATCCTGATGATTGCATATTTCTTCTTTTAAAACTGAAACATCTTTACATGTATGTATTTTATGAGTGTTGTTTCTATCGGTTGTATGATTCTTATCTAGAATCCTATGACATTTCATCTTTACCAAAATCCTTGTTATTCTTCATGACTTGTTGTTCTACTAATCTGAAGAGTTTGACACCAACGCTAGTCCTCAAAACCTTAGAACTTGTAACATTATGTTAACCATATATATCGTCTGGCTGATGTACTATATATATTTTGAAAAGATTGTATTTTTTTCCTGTTACACTTTGACGAATCGTTCTTTGTTAATGTATTTTTTTCCAAAATTCTCTCACCCTTTTTTATATATTCCACCAAAATACCTGTACATGTGTTATTAAATATTTACCTGTGTTTCATCCTCAATCTCCTTGTATTGTGTCTGTATGTCCCCTACAATCCTGATGTGGTTGTGCTTCATATATTTTAGGTCGTCAACAATCTTTGCGATACATTTTCTTGCGTAGAGGTAAGGGATGTATGCGTTCTGAGCTATTTCCTCATCCTTGCTTCCCAAGCTGGCCCTATCCAGACCTAAGTTAAAATACACACATTCACATTTCATTAGTAATTGACCTGTCCTCTTGATCTATATATTGTTAAAAACAAGATAGATCAATTCAAAATTTCAGATGGCAAAAATTTAATTCAAACCAACAGAATACTAAAACAAACAAATAAAAATTACATAGAAAATATTAGGTATCAAATGGTTTATCATATTTGTATATTTCCATTTATGATCAAAAAGTCCTTTCTAAATTAAAGCAGTCTGGTAATATATAATTTTCTGGGTTGGAAATTTTTCAATTTAAAGTACATTTTTTCCAATAGAAAACTAAAAAGATTTTTTTATAAGAATTGTCTATAGGTATATATTAAATATGTTTTTCATATAGCTGACATACTTAATTTATTTTCTTTGTTACTTTGACACATTTGCTAAGATATATATGCATGCTCAAGACTGGCCTACATAAAGAATACACTCTTCAGTCGATGATAACCTATTAGCTGTTCAACAATGAGATCCAAAGGAATGCATGCGTGATACTAGCCTGGACTGGACTGGACTGGGGTGTACAATTCCAGTAGTCTGACACTTGTGGCTTGGAAATATTATGTTAGGACTAGTTCAATAACATTTCAATATTTACTATGAAAATATAAGCTGGCTAGAAGAATTTTTCCAAATCTGCCAGCAGGCTAGTACTCTTAAACAGGAAATGGTACACTCCTGCTGGTACATGTACATACTGTATATGTAAATCAAGTTCCTGAAACATGCATGGATGAAATAACACATTACAAATAACTGAGGTTGCAGCATGTTCTTGTGTATTTCTGTGGAGTTTTTTATACAGCCGTTTATCCATGCGCTATTAATACTGTATACCTGGAAAATTGTGCTTCAGTTAAATTTTTCGCTACTTTTGCCCTCTGAACTGAAGGTAAATTAATCATTACAGCAAACATTAGTCAACAACATCATTTACTTAGTAACTAAATGCAGGTGAAGGGCAAATGTTTGACTGGGCGAACAGTTCCCGGCATACAGTATATTTTGCATTTTTTATTCATGTGAGCATGCATATAGATGGAATCATTATGGAAAGATAAATGTAATGAACTCCAATATCAAGTGAGCTTGCATACATTATGGTCCTAAATATCAAGTGAGCTTATGTATCACAACGAATGATCTTCAAAGATATCAAGTGATTATGCCGTCTGAACTGAAGGTCAATTTATCATTACAGCGTACATTAGTCAACATAATTTACTAAGTAACTAAATAGGAAAGGCATAATTAACACTTGGTGAATTTGGATTTTACAGGTGAAGGGCAAATGTTTCACTGGGCAAACAGTTCCCGACATACAGTACATTTTGCATTTTAATCACGTGAGCATGCTTATAGATGGAGTCGTTATGGAAACATAAATGCAATGAACTCCAATATCAAGTGAGCTTGCATACATTATGGTCCTAAATCTCAGGTGAGCTTATGTATCACACCGAATGATCTTCGAAGATATCAAGTGATCATGTGCTTTCAAATCCAGTGAGTTTTGATATCCATGCAGTAATTTTTTCATATCAAATGAGCTTGCATATGAATTGAGATTCCACATATTTTCAGCTTAAATTCCAAGTGAGTATATTGAAATATTGATAGAGCTAGCTTCAATATTATGTGAACATGCATATAATATGAGGTTCAATATGTATGGAGCCAATAAACCAACTATACAATGACGTGAGTTACAATACTCTAGCTTTGTCTACGGACGAGCAGACTGGTACCAATACCTTGAGGTTTCACAGACTTATGTGCCCTGTTTATCCCTCCTGGATCCTTAAAACTAACTACACTCGTCGACTTGTCTCCAATTGTAAACACTGATCAAAGCACAGAATATCAGAAATAACGCCACACAGTTTTAGTACATGAAACACAAGGTTACAACACACAGAAAAACACATTAGTATAAGAAACAAATGTTATAAATTGTTAAACAGTTCATAGACAGGAAATTAGGTTGTAGACAGTCTTATTAAATACATTGTGCTGAAGCATTTTAATAAATGTGAAAAATATCTTTCAAAGGAAGAAATATTAGAAACAGTGATTAGTTACGGTATCACTACATGTATAACAGACTGTATAACACATTTGTAACAGATGATATAACAAACACTTGTATCAAGTACAAATTCATCTTCAAAGCCACAGATTCTGATTTCATTCCTAAAATATTTATCACAACCACTTATAACAAACATGTTTACTTTCAAAAACAAACAAATATAAACATGTTCATTTTAACAATGTTATTTCTTGTGTCCAACGGCAAGGTACTGTCTTGTAAACATCAAACTCTAACAAACATTATATTCTTAATTCTTTAGCTTTCCTCAAGTTTGGTATAAATGTGTTCTACAGCAATGTGTTAATTAAAGATAACACATGGATACGGCCAGAAGCTAGACACATGGACTGTTGGCAGTCTGCTCTTCTGGGAATCACTTCATTTTCATGAGCAATACAATTTTGTGTATTCCGAGTAACTATCTTTGAACCAAGACTCAATCTTACATAGATATCAATTCACAGATAATAAAAACCAGTATTGAATTAGCATCTTCTCAATCGTGAAATAAATCATTCAAGAACGAAACCTACAAGATTAGTTCACAAAAGAAAGTACATGTGTTTAGTAATCTACTGTTATAGTGCACACCCGGGTATGTTCAACAAATTCATAACCAATCAATTAAAATACAGGTAAAACATAGGTAAGGTTTTGTCTAGAGACACAAAGTAAATTTAACGGAATGTCAGATTGAGATCCCTCTAGATGGGTATTCTTTATACATCCTGATGTCTTTATTTGACTATAAATTTAATGAATTCAAAAACAAAACATGAAATTGTTACTTATTTTGATGGTTCAATTTAACAAAGCTAAATGAAGTTGTGATCTGAATCTAAATAAAAAGAATTCTCTTTATACTGACCCTGATTAAAAAGAATTTTCTTTAAGTAGTGATTGGTCAGAAAGATATCCATGTACATTTAATTGTTTACAATTGTAAATGATCAATACCCGGATGTGCATGGTTATCAAAACGACATGTCCTAAAAAATTGTCACAGTCATACATACCATCCATAGACGCTGTTTCACTTCTATCAGTCCAGGCCTCTGAAATAGCATTGATAATATGATATTAAATATCAAATTTTCATTTTGACCACTGTCATCAAACACTTACATGGTATGTTTTTCTCTCTCATATGGAATTCAGAAATAGTGAATATAAACTTTCTGGCTTATATTAACCACTCTTGTCGGCCAAATTGGAAGAAAACATGTCAAGGGTCTTAATGAGTCATTAATCGGAATACCCTAAGAGAAGACGTGTATACATGGTTGGTCAGGTGATCTAATACCTTTTTACATCCAGTCAAACCCCGGCCATCTGGTGAAAGGAGAAAGCACTATCCATTACCCCACCCGACAACCCAGAAATATTAGGTATGGCCTTAATTCAATATCTCAAAATGTCAAGCTTTTGGTTTCTGTAAGAACAAGTGTCATTTAGCAGAATAATTCACCATTTTTCCAGCTACTGTACAGATTTTGCGTTTTGTTCGGCGACATACCTCTGACTGTTGATGTAGATCTGATGGATACAGCACTACCCATTTCTTTGGTTCCAGTCCTTGGATCGACTTTATTTTTGCGGTATGGTGATGGGGAACGTCTTGTATCCTCTGACGGGACGAGAGAGAGAGCGGGACTCGGTGATCGTTCCGGCATCACTGGTGTCTTTTTCCCTCCTTTCTTTGGGGCACTCTCAGATTTAGATTTCTTACTTGGGGTACTTTCTCGACTCTTGCTTTTCTGGGGAGTTCCCACAGGACTTGGCTTGCTTTTCTGTGGTGTACCCACAGGACTTGCTTTGTTTTTGTCTCTCTGCTTGGATGTTTCACCTTTTTCTTGTTTATTCTCATCTTCAATAAACTGTTTTAAAAGGAAGTTATATTCAATTAGTGTTCAGACATTCACATCAAAACCTAATTTCTGTCAATTTGAGTCATTTAAAAAATCCATTTCATATTGATGCTATCTTTGAGGTAGAAGACATAGATCAGGGAATGGGAAAATTTGTAGACCATTTGCCAAACCTTTAAGGTCTAGCCTTTTACAAGGTTTTTGCATAGGAATTTCACTATAAAATTTATAAAGTTTTTTATCGCCTTTTCAGACCCATTTCCAGCAAAATTCAGGCTTGAAATCTCCTGCATTTTGCGAATTCTCAAAATACAGATATTGTAACCTGGGTGTCTCTTATTAACTCACCATATAAACACCAAACAACCCTAAAATATTAACGCTGGTCAGTAGTAGGAAAATTAAGAAATTAACACCACAAAACCACCAAAAATTAATATACAATCATACTTTAAAGATAAATTAGTATAATTCCATGCAGTCGCTCATTTTTGACCTTTTCAAGATATTTTTGTTTAGTTTGGGTTTCTTGGGCCTTTTCATCAATTTAAAGTGTTTTAATGCCAATTAGGTAATTACCTTTTCCATTTCAAGGGCGAAAAACACACTTTAAAGTGATGTGATATCAGGTCAACTGAAACTAATTTCTATGAAAATGTTCGATATGAATAAATTTGCCCTATGTAAGACAAACTGACTAGTATATGCAAACCTACCTTTTCTGGTGGACCATTGTCACCAGTGTTGTCCTTTGTAGTCTGTGCTTCCTTCACGCTGATCTGGCTATGGGCACTGCCGGGCCTTTCAACTGAAAACAGATATGTGTACCAGGTCTATAGAAATGTCAATGGTTGTCTTTTTTTTCAAATGTTTGTTTTCAATGTAAGAATTTATGAAAAGTTTTAACTGTCATGATGTTGATATACATATGTGTGGACCCTAATGTATATACAGTTTAACATGTCTAAACCAGCTTAATGGGTCCAATCCGGATCCCATATATAACTTTTCACTAGTTGTTCTATATAAACCTGAAGAAAATATATTTCAAATCAGAAATGTGATGTTTTAAGCTCATTAGAAAAGCTGAAGTTAGGAAAAGGACAATTACACAGACACAAATACATGATGTGAACATTTTACAATAATCCACTAAGATCATTATACTGGAGATGCAAGAGTTTATTGAGAGATAAATTGTGGCTTACCTTCCTTTTGCTCGAAAATTTGTTTGGCCTTCTTCTTTACTTTTTCTTTTGTGGCCATGTTGGATTGGAAAAAAGTTCCCGACCAGCAGGACTTAAATCTACAAACAAAATCGTATTTTAATTAAAAAATATTTACATTGATATTTAAACAAACAGCAAGTGCTCTCTAAAAGTTAGAATACTTCCAAGAAACAACTGGCTAATAGCTCTAATAGTTTCTGGATAAACTGGCCTATGTAAAAGGTGGTAACAACAATGTCCCCCGATTTAATTTCAATTGATAATTTTACGTAATGCCATTTCCAAAGAAACAATTCCTGGAATCTAGCTGTCCGGTTGCCGTTCCACAAATTAAATGATCCAGTTAATGAGATACATAATATCAGAGATGAAATTCTACATAATCAGTAAACATTTTGTTATAGCTGTGTCTGGTGAAGATGCATGTCTGCTGCAAATGTGCACCAGTTGATGCAGTAAAGTGGACTAGTTCAAAGTTTTGCCTCATCTGCCCTAACTCATGGCCACCAGACTTGGCTTCAACATATTTTCAAATAAAAATGTGAGGACACCATTTCCCATGATGACACCTCCAGGCAGCAATTGAGGAGTGGTTGTATGATCAACCCCCTAGTTTCTATCAAAATGGTCTTTTGGCCTTAAACATTGTTGGACAAAGTGCATCGACCTCAAATGTGAATATGTGGAGAAAGAAGAAGTGAGGGTTGATGGAAAATATAGGTAAGGCCAGTTATATTGAATGGCCCATTGTATATATATATATCTAAAAAAAACAATCTGTTTCTTCATCACTGTCTGTAGATGATTATGGACACTTGTGAGAGAGTGCAGCATTGAGCATAGCAAGAATCATTCAATATTTACATTATTTTAATATATATTTAAACTTTGAGAGTTTTAAGACGGCCATTATATTTCATTTTTCCGTATCATATACAAATGTGTAATTAAATAGGATAGATATCCATGTGAGGTAAGGAAGTATACGCCTATAAATGCAAATGAAAGGAAATATACAGATAGATTGAGCCAGTTGGCTTTCAATAACCAGATAACTACATTCTGTCATTTCGATATTTTGAACGTGCTACACAAAAAAAAGCCCATTCGATAACATCATAACCATAAAAGAAGTTGACTACCAATATTTAAGCAAGATTTATTAACAATTCCGGATTTTACTGCTGTGTTGGCATATATGAGATAATTTCATTTCTGTTTACATTCGTTACCGCCATTTTGGGACACATTTTAGTGTGCTTTCGATAAAGACATTCCTATTTCGACAACTTCTAAATGCTTATTTAATTTGTGGGTTGATAATGATTCAAGAAAGTCAGGTTTTGATTATCTTAACATATGCGTTTACCTTAATTTGTAAAGAAACCGACGGTCTGGCAGGTGCCCTATTAATCCGCCATCTTGAAAGTTTATTGACAACTATGGAGATGTGACGTCATCACTTTCAGTGCTTTTTGTTTTCATTCGGAAGTTCTCTGAATCTATCATTTTGAATAGTGAAGACGCCAAACATGAATTTTAGCAGACGATGCAGAAATGAATATTAGCTTATTAGCAGAACCAAAACAAGAAGATGAGGACGAAGATGCTTATTTATTGCCATTTGGCAAGTAAGTATTGCACTATAAAAATACTGTAATGGCACACTAAGGAGAAAAGAAAAACACATATCTAGTTATTACTATCAAAATGAGCCAAATGTGTGTGGGTCTAGTTTCTGTCCGCTAAACTTTTGTGCATTGCTGCACAAACACAGATTTTTTCTTGCATCATATTTGTTTCAATTCACACTATTGAACTTAAATGCTTTTCGAAAAGTAGTGTATTTTTTGTCGATTACCTGATTCTATTTTTTAGATTTGAAATAAAGTACTAGGCCTAGAACAAGAGGTCCAGAGCCAGAGGGTCTGTTTAGTTCACCTGTTATATTAAAGCAATTATGGGAAATATTACTATTAAATGTAATAATTCAAATATTTCCCATGTTTAGCTCTGTCTCTCAGCAATCAAAATAAAACTCTTTTCCTTTATAAAACATTTGATTCCTTAATTGGTTCCACCAATGATATTTTGTAGTGAATTTGTTTAGATCAACTTTTCAGGAGAAGTATGCTTTCAAACACTTTAAAGCCCAAACCCTTTCCTAGAGGGTAAGTTCTACATGCAATATGGTTAAAATCCTTTAAATCATATGGAAGGGAAAAGATTATGGACTATAAATATTACCCTAATGGAGTCAAGTATGTAAAACATTAGATTTCTGTGACCAAAGAATGTGCACAGGTAAATTGATACTCCAGACCAAAAATTGCACCTAGCCATTCTGGACTATAGTATTTTTAATTATAAATGCTTTTACATACATATTTGACCCCTGTTACCTTGAATGTACATGTAGGTAACAGTCATTTATTTGAGGAAACTTGTAGCACTCCATCCCATGTTCCCTTAATTTTCCAATTATCATGACTCTAGGTCCTCTAGTTCTTTAGAAGTTATCAAAAGAAAAAGTTATAAGCTTAGAGGTACCTTTGCCAGGTGAGCAAAAAATATATCCTGATGTCATTTTTTTTTTATTTAAACAAAGTAAAGTAAGTATAACAAGGTAAGCAAAATGTTCTATAAAACTATAAAAAAAACTATCAAATATTTTTTGAGTAATCCAAAAACAAATACATTGTACATTATCTGAGTCTCTTTATAAGATAAGTTATGGATTGAAACGTGCAGTGAAGTGAGAATTCTTCTGTAGAACTGTTTACTGTATTTCTTTCAGTATATCGATTGCATCTTTATTTCACAGGATATCCCAAAGAGCTAGAAGATTTGACGAACTTGAATCTCAGAAATGTAACCAAACCTGCAAAGAAGATGAGAACTATTTATCACAAGATTTGTTTCACTCCCAATTTGAGATACCACCTTCAGATGCAATAGACAGGTATTGTAACAATTATCTGAATATTGGACTAGCTAGTCAATCAGCTAGCTTTGAAGCCATTTTGACAGTTTGAGTTAATATCCTTGTAATATTTTATTGGGTAAATTAAGCCTGCAATACAAGATCAGGACCATCAACATGGGTTTCCCAGAAAGTTTGGCAAGTTAATCACTCACTATGAGTTGATTTACATAAGTAGCTTCCAGAAAAGTTATGCTTATAAATACAGTACTTCAATGGACTCAGGGGCTAGTATAACAAATCATGAATATTTTCTAGTTTTAACTGTATGGGTAAGCCCTGTAAACTACCAATTGTGATCATATCGTTGGTGTTGGTATCCATTTCTAAATCATTCCATTTATTTAATAAAATTTAATTTTGTAGTGTCAAGTGGGTGCCTACCGTAAAAACCTGTGTAATTTGCACAGGTACTTTTTTGGGCTGAAAATACTAGAAAAAGCTTCTACTCATATATTTTGTGCATAAAAATTTTCCCTTAAAAACGATGTCCAAAATGCCTGGAAAGACCTCCGACACAAAACTTTTGCGCAAGTATCTACTTTCTCTTTTCATTAATTAATTAAATGTGTTAATTCAATAACTTTAGATCTTAATGCAGATGTATATGTAGACTGCTTTGTTCATCCTGCATTTATATTTAACACTTTTTATAACTTTGAGTTCTGCACTTAAATATCTTGGTACATTACCGCATTTCTGATTACTACTATCATGGACTGCTATTCCAATTCTCCACTGTGACCACACTACTGAGAAATCTGTTGAGCTCTCGTTCTTCTTACTGCCTTCCTCTTTTTCTTTACCGATCCAGAGGTCTGTTTTCATTTTCAAAAGGATATCGTATCAAAGGAAATGTTGGGGTTGGTTTTGAACTTGGTTCCATTTTTTTTTTCATAATCCTTAATTGGTTTGATATCTATCCTCTAAATCACATATTTAAGCAAAATGTGTTCATCGATCCTCAATACTCTAAGGGTAACGCTCACTTTTGCTCTCTGCACCCCTGGAATATGTCAGCAAAATCGACGTGCCTTTTGGATGAGATGAGAAGACTAGCTACTATGCAGTTTGATCCTTTGATGTACTACATCAAAAGATTGACTGGCTTTAAAGTCGGGTGTCGCTGCTCTGTAATATTCAAAGGAAAGATATCTGCCTAGTATTGGTCAGTTTTTTTTAAACTCTTGACCAATCAAATACCTAGCCATGTGCCTTCAATTTTGCTATGACATATATTCCGGGGTGCAGGGAGCGAAAGTGAGCGTAACCCCTGGAGTATCAAGGTTGTGTAGACTGAAGTGTATATAATGTACAGTATAAATTATATCAAGAACTTATGTTTTAATAATTTAATATACATGATTACCGGTACTATTATTTCAACTGGGAAAAATTCAGCTAGGACATTATAAGGCAAAATATTGTGATGTCACAAAACATGCATTTTAATGCTTTTTTTTTTTGTAAACAGCAAGCAGCACTACTGTGACTACAAGAGATGCAGAGAAAACTCATCTTACCATTTTGCCTGTTATGCTCACTTTATATTTATTTTAATTCTACAGATTGTCCAGATGTTCACCATCAACAGATCTAGATAAATACAAAAAGACCAAGAAAGATATTTCAACAAATTTTATAGAGTTGGTAAGTAGCAGTTATAGATCCTATGCAAATATTTTCTTTCTATGTTGAAATTTTTAAGAAGCATTGTCTTTGTTGGCAATACCAGAATGATCTTATAATCTTTATACTAACTAGAACACTGACGGGACAGTAAGGGCCTTGCTTGTGGCAATATATCCCCCATAATCATCAAGAAGCAATCTGCCCATATAGCTGAGCTTGACGTTTGACATTTGGACTTCAAAAAAACCCACAAGAAAGCAAAATATACATTTTACATGTACTATGATGTGAGTCTTGTTTCCTTCCACCTCCAAATTTGCTGGGCTAACAGAAATGTAAATTCCGGTGCAATACTCATTTGTTAGCTTTGATTTGTTTTATTTCACCTTAAATACCTCCCCCATCAAGAGCCAGGGTCAAAGTCAGAGATCCACTTTGTCTCTGACCTTTGGACACAAATGACCTTGACCTTTAACCCAGTGACCCTGATCTTTGGTCAGGTGACTTATTCTTTAATTCCGACCAATTTTGCTTCATAATATCATAAAATGTTTATCAGTAAAAAGATACAAAATTTGACCTTGACATTGACCCAGTGACCTTGACCTTAAGTCAGTTGACTCCTTGTTAAATTCCTACCAACATTGCTTCAAAGTGTCATAACGAAATGTTCACCAATGAAAAGATACTAAATTTGACCTTGACCTTTGACCCAGTGATCTTGACCTTAAGTCAGTCGACTCTTTTTTAAATTCCGACCAACTTTGCTTGATCATGTTATAACAAAATGTTCATCAGTGAAAAGATGCAAAATTTGACCTAGACTTTTGAACCTAATGACCTTAACCTTTGACCTTGACTTTTTACCTCAGTGTGTATTTTTATGAACTGAACATTTTGACTAAGTTTCATGTACAAATCGGTCAATTAATACCAAAGTTATCAGCCAGGAACAAAATTTGTGGACAGACAGACAGTGATTACTATAGGGCACCTGTATCTTCGATACGGGGCCCTAATTAGCAGTATGCAATATATTTTAGTGTTGGCTAATATTGGAGAACTTAATATAGAGGTGTAAGTATAAGGCATGCATTCAAGAAACATTCAATTAAGACCAACCATATTCGTTCTATTGAAAAGTATTCACTTCAAGAATAAATTCCGTTTGGTTTTTCTGTGATTTTGTTTTCAATATAGCAACAACAACACACTCATTACTTACCCCATTTTGAAACAATCTATTATTCCTCATCCCGCTGGGGAAGAATATACTATTTCATTCAGTATACAGTGTATAACAAAGCGACATAAATAGAACCCGTCTAATAAACATTTTACATATAAAAATACTGAAATGCAATGAGAAGAATACTATATGACTCAGTATAGCTGAATTATTTCTTGGATGCAGTAAGGGGGAAACATATTCTGCTTATTTCACTAGCATTGATTGATTTGATTGATTGAGTGGTTTTATGTCTGCTTCACTACAGAGTAGTTTGAATATTAAGCAGATGAAAGCTGAAGAAATGATAACTTCAAAAAACTTCAGTTAAGGGATTGCCTCCCTTTGCCTATACTCCAATTCATCATCAGTAATCAAAACTAATATAATGTCTAAGTGCTACTTAACTAAAGACCTATTTTGCTCATATTCAAATTTTTGACCAAGTCTCATCAGTATCCAGCTCATAAATAATGTACATATTTTGCTGATACTATAAAATATGTACATCCAGTTTATAATATCTTGATGGGTGTCATGACTGGCATACAGACTGTTAGTGAATATGTCATCATGTCTTATGAATTAGGAATCTACAATTTGGCTATAAAATCCCTTCAATTATCACTCAGTTCACCAAATTATTACTGTGTGTGACATAATATTGACAGGAATATTAAGATCCGTTTCCTCTGCTCTTGTCTAATATGAATTAATGCCATCATTAAATGTTAATAACATTTGTAGACTAGAAAACATACTTGTATTTACTCAGAAATCTGTACATCTCATTTCAGCCCCCTACAGCAGTTAACACTCAACAGTCACTGATACCAGGTTATCAGGTGGTGAAGGTTTGCAGAGGAGCAGGAATCTCTTCAGTAACCGAGAGTAACACTTTTGAGGCACTACCACACCCCACAAAACTTTTTAGGAGGTTTGGTTTGGTTTGGTTTTATTGAGTTTAATGTCCTATTAGCAGCTAAGGTCATTTAAGGACGTGTCTCAATGTGTGTTGTGTAATCATGCATACGTGTATGTGTGCCGGAGACAGGGTGTGTTGGTGTACTTGCCTCATTGTGATAGAGCGGATGTGGTGACGACTTTATAGTGCTATCTCATTGAAATACCATGCCGAAGGCACCCAGCACAGCATTCCGCCCAGTCACATTATACTGACAACGGTTGAACCAGTTGTTGTCATTACCTTTAATGCTTAACGTTAAGCAGGGAATAATAACTACAATGTACCATTTTCAAGGACTTTGGTATGTCCAGGCCTGGGGACAGAACCCATTGCCTTCCTCACCTGGGCGAACCTTCAACATTAAAGCCAAAAGTAAGGTGTTGCCAAGCAAGGCGTTAGGAAATACAAAGATCCCAACTATTGCAATTGGTGCAGCAGATTTATTTGGTCGCTTTTGTGTCCCCAAGTAGAGGGCACGAAAGCAAATCCCCAATTATTGCAGGGGTTCCCACATAAGTCGCCTCTTACGATACATGCACTGGATAACAGATAATGTGAACACTGAATTTGGGCCAGTTCCCACTAATTTTGAATTATTAAGCATAATTATTACTGTTTTTAATTTCAGTATGAATAGGCACAACACAACATGAGGATTAGGTCCTCATACCTGTCAGTAGGTTAAAAGACGTCCTCTATATACTCCTCTCCCAAGAATAACTCAAACAATTCACTGCAATTAGCCAGAGTGTACAATAGGGCGTCCGGCGTTTATTACATGTATTACATATCAAGTGACATGGAGATCGATCTGTTACACATAATTCATAATATCTTGGTATAATGAAGAGCCCTCTCTTACAACACACTTAAGTCGCACAAATGACCGTCAAGTATTAAAAACTAATGAGCTAAGCGAGCCACCCAACCTGAAAAACCTTCACGGAAAACAGGAGGTGTACCAACCCTCAATGCTTAAAGCTCGGTGCGTTGGATTTCTATCACGTTAGCCGATATTACATATTCATTCCCTGTTATTAGTGTAATATAGATTTAAACTTGAAACAAAAAAAAACCAATAATTCTACTCATATAAATTTTGCTTGACTACGCCCTGGTGTCCACGGCTAGAATGACCAATACCTCGTTTGCCCTACCACACTTTCCTACCTTGCACGTGCGTACAACGCGTCACTCTCTCATTGGACAATAAATCAGACCTACGATACCCGACGAAAACACCCGAATACCGTACCTATAGGACAATTATTTTCCGCTATTCTCCGAAACGCGGAAAATATGAAAGTCCTCTATATACTCCTCTCCCAAGAATAACTCAAACAATTCACTGCAATTAGCCAGAGTGTACAATAGACAATAAAAGAACGGGCTTTAAAGACCTAACTTCTGCGTTACCTGTAGCCTACGCGCCAAAGAGTCGGCAACGTAACCATCCTTTGCGACGTCGGTTTTCCACCGCCCGTGCCTTTTCCAGCACCTGTCATTTACGTCGCTGTTGGCTGCCTGAGTAGCGCCACCTGCCCTTAAAGAATGCAAACCCCAATTCAGGCTCCCGTCCATTTCCTTCAACCTTTTGACTATACATTCTCTTGCACGTGTATAACTGAGTGGCTTACATTTGGAAACAGGCTTACATGCACTTCCACTTCTAACAAAAGGCGTGAAAAGGAAATCATCGGGTTTCTCTGAATTCCTCAACTTTGTATATCTCTGAAGCATACGATATGGGCACGCCACTGTCTCACCCTTTGAAATGACAACCTCGCTCCCGAACCTATACTGATCGGTTTTACTTTTCTCAATATTAAGGCTCACATACGCTTCCTTAAACTTTACGTCTTTCATGCGCAACCTACTTAGCTCGTCAAATCTCAGAAACCCTGCAAAACTAACTACTATCATTGTCAAATCCCTGATTATTAAAGCATCATTACTGTCTTTATATTTCTGGCACAGCTGTACCAATAAATCAGATGAAACACAGTCTTTCTTCACACGCGGGGTCCTTTCCTGACGTTTGGCTGCCTCCACCATGCTCTTGACGAAACCGTTCTCTGTAGGATCTGGTAAATTGCTAATACTATGGGCCCATTTAATAGCATACACGGAGGAGCTAACGACGTTGTAAGAGCTCCCTTTGTCTAATAGATAGGTCGCATATAAAGCCACGTGTATAGGCTGGGCCGGTAAAGCACACACGTTTTCCCGAACAATGAAATCCTCCCATTTCCGGAAATATGAAAAATATTTTGACACAGTACTTTCGCTCCTTGCTTGGAGTAAATAATAGGACATTTTCCCGGATAAGCCCAACAATCGTGGACTAGATACGCCTGCTGATTCCGTTGCCTTCTGTACTGTTGACGACAGCTTTAAACCTGCAATTCAAACAAAAAACATCCTTTTATAATCAAAATACTATTCTCAGTGCCACCATTTGTACCCTACCTTTCTCAAATATCCCGTTTTTCCCTTTTCCCTTGACCACGACCTTCGCAGGCAATATTCGATGTTCCTTAATGAAACTGGCGAAATTCCCGTCTGAAGGAGCCAAAACCGGCCAAAAGGGAGCTGAAGTCCAATAAGGCACTATCAAAGTGCCCCTGGCCTTCTCGTCAATCATTTTATTGATGACTTTTGGCACCAAACGGGGAGGCGGAACTAGCCAATTATTAATCCCACCCCAAGGCTGTAAAAGACCATCTATGCCTGAAGTACCCGGGCACCACCACCGGGAATTAAAAATTTCGCATTTGGCATTATAGGAGCTTGCAAACCTGTCCACCAGAAAAGGCCCCCAAGCCTTGTTAAAAAAATTGAAAACTGACAAGTGAATCCCCCAATCTTCTGTATCTCCCGCTTTGCTGTATGAATCAGCGACCTGGTTATGTCCCCTTGGGATCCAGGCTGAAACAAACTCTATGTTCTTTCTTGCACACATCTCAAAAACCTCTCTAGCCTGTGTCTGCAAGCGACACTTCTTGCTACCGTTTACCAATATATTTGCCACATTTTGGTTGTCTGTGTACCATAACACCTTACGCCCTACCAGGCGTTGCCCTACCAGGCTTCCATAGTAATGTCTCACCATACGCCTCACGGCCTCCAGCTCTCGCCATGTAGAGCTCTCTGCCCTCTCTGCCTCAGACCAAACCCCAAGCACTTTGCTATCGTTAACATTCAACATGTAGCCTCCGTACCCTACCCTAAACCGGATGCATCGCTATACACCGCCACATCATGCGATATCCGCTGATCAATATCACGTCCATTCAAGAACCTAGCATTATTCAACCAAAATCTGACCTCGCTCAAAGCATCGCTAGTAATGTATATACGCGAGTCCCAACTAGCCTTTGCTAAAACATTAGCATACATGTACCTTGTCATAAGCCTTGTTGCTGAACCTATACCGACTTTCATAGATATAATCTGACCGACAACACCCGCCAGAACTCGTGCGGTAACAAACTTTACCTCCGCGGACTCGCCCGCCAATACACACTTTAAGCCACTCTCCAGTTTATTCAATCGCTTTTCCGTTATGTAAATCTTTCCTTCGCTCATTTTCCACACCAAACCTAACCATACTGCCTCTAAACTAGGCATCCAGCTGCATTTTTCTTCAGCTATTAGAAAACCAAAACGGTTTAAATCGACCTTGATTTGATTACTCAAACTAAGCACCTGATCCTGTCTACCGTGACCTCCTAGACCGTCATCCAAGTACATTATAACCTTGTGACCTTGAGATCTCCAATACCTCACCAACTCTCTAGTCACCTTGGAAAATACATAACCTGCGGTGGAAAGCCCGAATGGCAAAACATTAAACACGAAGTACTTTGTGACCCCATCGAAGACCCAACTAAATCCCAAATATTGCCTGTGATCCGGGAAAATCTCGATATGATGATAAGCCGATTTTAAATCAAAAGAAAATAAATACTCTCCTTTTCTGAATAACTCTAGAGCAACAGAAGAATCTTCGAACCGGAATCTGAACTTATATAGACATGGATTGACGTACCTACAATCCAAAACTAGCCTTAGCTTCTTGGAATTGCCTGCGACAGTTAAGTGATTTACAATTCTTGGTTTATTCTCAACTTCCAAAATACATCCTTTATTTAATAAACTCAGGATTTCATTTCTCACAAAAGAAGCATTTTCTCTCGCCGACTTGTTATTTCTGAGAACTGCCCCCTCCGGGATTTGATATAAGGGTAACTTATACCCGTATCGTATAATATCGAGAACTACTGGACACGCTTCGATGCTCTCCCATTCAAACAAAGCTCGGCGTAGCATTCCAATAGGTGACCTGACCTCTGACCTTGCGACTTGAACAGCTGATTTTTCAGGACAACATAAATTACTTATCTTTTCTGGTCCTTGTCCGATATTACGTTGCTGCTGCTGCTGCTGCTGCTGCTGCTGACACTCTATTCTCCAGTGCCCCGGCTTCCCACAGGCATAACACAGTCCCGGTCTCCTGCTGTTTGCTGTATTCATTGGTTTTGTCGTGTCCACGTGTGCCGTGTTTCCATGTCCCTGTGGTCGAGGCGCGCTATATGGAGCGAAACGCCTCTGTCTAGCTTGCCTCTGTGCTTTAATTTTTCGCTGTGCCCTGTTTTCAGCCCGCTTCGGAAGAGTCCGCTAACCTTATTAACTTCAGCAATTTTATCCGCCACTGAAATCATATCTTGCCANCCGTTTCGGAAGAGTCCGCTAACCTTATTAACTTTTGACGGTGTTTTAAAATGCTCATACCTTCAGCAATTTTATCCGCCGCTGAAATCATATCTTGCCGTTCCACTATGCTAGAGTGGGCCTCTTGCAATTTCGTTACGACTTTCGAGTTAATCTTAAACTGCTCTTCGTTGCCTTTATGCTTAAAGGAATACGAGTGAGAGTTCATCTCGACGATTTTCGTAATCTGGTCTTCCGACAGCTGCCGTTGTGAATCATGTATTTCTGTTCTAAAAGTATCCAGTTTCCTAGTGAGCAAAGTTTCAAGCTGGCCTAAGATGTCATGTTGAGAAGAAGAAATACGCTCCTGTATCTTGTTTTCGAACGTCGCCGGATCCATTTTGCTTGACTACGCCCTGGTGTCCACGGCTAGAATGACCAATACCTCGTTTGCCCTACCACACTTTCCTACCTTGCATGTGCGTACAACGCGTCACTCTCTCATTGGACAATAAATCAGACCTACGATACCCGACGAAAACACCCGAATACCGTACCTATAGGACAATTATTTTCCGCTATTCTCCGAAACGCGGAAAATATGAAAATACCATGGTCATACAGTTTCTATGCATGGATATATATATATATATAGGATCTTACATGAGTTTCTGTTTCATATAAGATTTATGAAACGTGTCTAAGAATCTAAAAAGAAATTGTGACGAATTTTATAAATCCCATATGAAATGAAAACGAGTTAAAGAACATTTTTATCACATAATCAAGATTTGTGGCATTTATTCGTGTAAAACGACAATTTTCATGCAACCTTGAAATTTAAAAAGCCGCCATTTTGACTGTGGTGTCATGTACTTGTCCTAGGCGTGACGGCGCAATTGAAACAATTGAAACTTACAACTAATCGTAGGGCTGATAGGTCATATTACATGAATTAATACTAAAAAAAATATGATATGGATATGTTCACTGGATTACACAGAACATTATGTGATAAAAAGAACATTCTCCTTATTTGCAGTTATACCAGTGTTTATATGCATTTCCATGTGTCGGCATCTTTTGGTGCAGTAGATAATCAGATTGTTGAGTTGCCTGTAAATAATACAACTGATTTTGTCGGACAAAATTGCCACTGGTCATTTCATTGTAAGGGCAAAACTGCTTAATAATATTAAGATACATCTCTTTTGAACATGATACCAATGACAATATATATATATATATATATGGGAAGTTCATAACTCTTTGTTATTTGAAAATTAACAAAAATGCCATCTATCTTTCTAATGGTAATTTATTGCCAGAATATTGCAGCAACGCTTCGTTTACACATGTTGTGGACAGACATCCTGTTGTAATGATGATCCATAGTTATACTAAATAAATATACAACATAGAAAACAGACCAGTGTGTGGTCTTAACATTAAATCAATTAATCTGAATATGAGATGACATTATTTATAACACCTTGCAAATGGTTCGCATAACTGAAAAAAAACAAGAGGCCCAATGGGTCTGAATCGCTCACCTGGTATTAATCTCACACTTGTAATCTTAAAAGTGGACCACAGCTACAGACAGAATATAAGTGTTTGATTCATGAAAACCTATTAATTAAACATATGACGCCTGTGACCTTGATTGTCCAACAAGGACTTTAGGTTGAACAGAGTTTATAGTCTTCCAACCCAGCATGCTTGTGGCAAAATATCATTACCCTGGACCTTTTGGTTATAAAGAACAAGTCATTTAAAGAATTAAACATAAATTGACCACTGTGACTTTGAATATCGTCACCCTTGGCCTTTTGCTTATTGAGAAGAAGTCGTTCAAAGGTTTTAAACATATTTTCCCCCTGTGACCTTGAATATATATGTCGAGGTCATTCATTTGAACAAACTTGGAAGTACTTCATACCAGCATGTTACTGGCCACATATCATTATGCTAGACCTCTAGGTTATTCAGAAGAAGTTGTTTTAATGTATTAAACATATTTGACCCCTGTGACCTTGAAAATAGATGAAGGTCATTCATTTGAACAAATTTGGTAGCCCTTCATCACAGCATACTACTGGCCGAATCTCATCACCCTGGGCCTTTTGGTTATTCAGAAGAAGTTGTTTAAAGGTTTTGAACATATTTGTCCCCTGTGACCTTGAATATATAAGTCAAGGTCATTCATTTAAACAAACTTGGAAGTACTTCATCCCAGCATGCTAATGGCCAAATATAATCACACTAGGTCTTTTGGTTTTTCAGAAGAAGTCGTTAAAAGAATTTAACATATTTGACCCCAGTGACCTTGAATATTTGTCAAGGTCATTCATTTGAACAAACTTGGTAGCCCTACATCACATCATGTTACTGGCCAAATATCATTATCCTAGGCCTCTTAGTTATTCAGAAGAAGTTGTTTAAAGATTTTTTAAGACAATTGACCCCTGTGACCTTGAAAATGGATGAAGGTCATTCATTTGAACAAACTTGGTAGCCCTTCATTCCAGCATGTTACTGGCCAAATATCATCACTTTGGGCATTTTGGTTATTAATTAGAAGTTGTTTCAAGGTTTTAACATATTTGACCCCTGTGACCTTGAAAATAGGTGAAGGTCATTTATTTGAACAAACTTGGTAGCCCTTCATCTTAGGCCCTTCGGGCCAGGTGAGCTAATAATTGAATGATAAAGAATTATTCCAAGGAGAAAATAGGAACTATAAAAGTGAATACTTTATAAGGCTGTTTAGACAAGTGTTATATTTGTCGCCATCTGACATTTTGTTTCTATGCATGCTCACTTTTGAGGATGTTACATGTAGCACTTCAGGTTGATGTCACTTTTACATATTTCAAAAAGCATTGTTATCACCGTTATTATAACTGAGTTTCTCGAAATTATGTATTATCATTTTTCAAGGTTAAAAAAGAAATTCCTGCAGATGACAGAACGAAAGTGTGTACATGTGTTCTTTATTTCCCCCATTCTATCAGACGAAAGCAGCAAGCAAGTGTTACCAAAACCTCACAGAGAAGCCTCCGTGTCCAGCCACATGACAAGGATAACCAAAGTGTAGCCATACACCTAAGACAGCTTCGACTAAAACAGTCAAGAATTGATGCTAATACGTAAGATATTCATGATCATCAGTATAATGGAATTTGAACTTAAGGAAATGTTTTAAGTGCAAATATAATATAATACACTTATTAAAAGGTGTATATCTTCTCAATCATTTCATACTTTTAACATTTTGTTTCATTCCTCTTTCAGATGATAATTTTAAATCCCTGTTACATATAGCTTAAGTTTTAAATTTCACTATTTTTGAAAATATACTGGATAGAACATTTGTGCAAGTTGTGATTAACTCATTCACCCCTGAAATTCCATAATGAAATATTCCAACCTTTGAATTGGAAGAGTTCAAATGTGTATTCAGGGGTGAATGAGTTAAGCTAAGCAGACTTTAAACAAGTGAGCCCAGGATAATCTTAAGTAGTACAGTTACCATTACCAAAGTTTTTGATGATGAAGTAATTCCAGGGACAGTTTGGGAAATTCATCTCATATTTCTTTGGTTTGGAAATTCTTTTTATGGGGCGATTTAAAAAGAAATCTGTTCAAGTGTGCCATACAACTACTGGACATTTTGACTTGCTTTTTAGAGAATTGGATCCAAATGATTTACAAAGAAGTGTCACAAACCCTCACACAGCAGTGATGGCAAGTATTTCTTTAAAAACATATTAAATCTGAAACCATACAGATCCTATGAAGTTGTTCACATTAGTCTGTCTTGTCTCATGCATGTATCATACAGTTATACACACATTTCAATACTTGAGATGAAAACTATAATAGAATTTTTGGATCATCATAATAATACTGTGCAATTTGTAGTCATCATGTAATATCTATATACATGCACATAACTTTGAATACAATATTCCTAATTGTCAGCTACAGTGTAGTAAATCTACTTAAAATTATCATTTTAATGTCAGAGAATATGACAGACACTTAATATACCTAGTCTTCTGTGATTATCAATGCACATATAATTCATTTCAATTCACTATTGACTTTAGGTCTTACAGCCCATCAGTATACAGTACATTTTATACATTACATGAGAGAACAGCACGGTTAACAGTTCAATGTACAACGTAGAGTAGGATTTATATAGATAAGGTTCGAAGCTTATTGGCTTCAAAAATGAACTTACTAAGACGTCATATTCTTCAGTGTTCTAAACACATAGTACGGTGTAGTTCTTTATTTGAACGCACTTTTTTATATAACGACTTCTTGAATCTTTGTAGGTATTACACACCCAAACAAAATGATACTTGTTTTCGACTTCAGTAATCAAATCATACATAGTACCTTCTATCTTGATCAATATTTAATATCTACCTGTTTCAATTGCTAGAGATTGAGATATAGAGATGTAGTTGCAATGTGTGTAGACAGCTATATGGTATTATTGTAGACACAAAGAACAACGATAGAGAAGCCTATCACTACTACCAACATATCAGACTGGGAGACCATCGAGTCCTGGATCCATGGACGCTGGAAATCACGATCTGGCCAACATCTTAACTGGCATGTCCAAGAGGAATGAGGAAATCTTCTATTTCATTGTTATTGCAATTAACCCCATAAAATTGGCTCCATTATCCTATAAACACTGAATTACCATATTTAACGTAATTAGTGCCCCTCCTTCATTTTCATGAGTAATTGAAGTTAAATAGACTCCCCCTCCTTGTCCTGACCAGGTTTGGTCAATGATTGGTAGTTACATGTACATAGATTGAAGTCTGGTGATCATTAATACTGGTCTTATTTGATACAGATAACTTTTTATTTCCAAACCTTCGGCCACACTGGAATGCTTGTTTTAAATGTCCTTCAGTGATAACAATGGTTGAATTTTATTTTCCTAGTACATGTAATCGCTCCCTTTAGGTCAATTTAAAATTCCCTGGGCATGTATTACAATGAATATGGTAAGTATATTGAAAAAAAGTGTTCTGACGGACATGATTTTACTGTCCATATTGAGATATCTCAAAATGTACTAAGGAATACGTGCAGTAAGTTACTTGTAGTTCAAGCTTTGATTTCATGGATTGGTGTTTCCTTATCTTTTGTGAGGAATATTTGAATTTCCTTTAATGTATGTAAATAATACTTTGTGTACACTATATCAGAATTTACACTGTCCATGCTTTACAGGGTAAAAATATGCAAACTATAAGTTATAATCTGATTTATAAAGAATGGCTTTAAATCAGTGTTCTGACTAACAGACTTTCACTGTCCATATTATAATTTAAACATGGTTTTAAGACATTTTTCACGAAATTGTACAAAAATGCAATGAGATTCCTGAAGTTGTATTGTGACAAACAGATTTTGTGACTTAATTATCATTAAATAAACTAAGACATTGTGTTTAAATGATTGATGTATAATTGAAAATAAAATGTAATGATTTGACAAAATACTTCCATTTTGTGTATGTGTGGTATGTTGAAACAAAATCTTGATGACACGGACATCATTTTTTAATTATGATATATTTATTACTCCAACCACAAAGTAAAAACAAACAAAAAACAGGTACTAAATTCATACACTTTCTCTTCTGTTGAGAGTAAACTAGTTCAAATGTATGAATCACTTCTGCTTTCTTCCAAGTCTGTTTTCATCGCATACATTCATGTTTTCATTTGAAAACAGTGAATATTGAAAAATTGTCTTTAGTTCTGTTCTGATAGGTCCATGCTTCAGTATGCTCCAGCTACTTTCCAAACAGCATATGGGTTGTTACTGGTCAGGAACTTGATCTGTTTTCGTCCTTCATCTGTTAATGCTACAAAGACAAAATTGTAATGGAGAATCAAAACACCATATATATAGTACCTTAAGCATTGATCATGTAAACAAGTACTTGAGGCATTGCTTAGTAATGTATGCCTTCTACCAGGACAAAATGTCCCATCATTATACAAAATATACCCCCTATCATAACACATCGTCTAGTAATGATACCATACATGTCCCCTACCTTAATACAATGTCTAGTTATGATACGATAAAAGCCCCCTATCACAATCCAATGTCTAGTCATGATACAATACATGTCACCTATCATAACACAATGTCTAGTCGTAATACAATATATACCCCCTATATCACAACACAATGCCTAGTCATGATACAATACATGTCCCCTATCATAACACAATGTCCAGTCATGATACAATATATACCCCCTATATCACAACACAATGCCTAGTCATGATACAATACATGTCCCCTATCATACCACAATGTCTAGTCGTAATACAATATATACCCCCTATCACAACACGATGTCTAGTCATGATACAATACATGTCCCCTATCATAACACAATGTCTAGTCATGATACAATATACCCCATATCACAATACAATGTCTAGTCATAATACAATATATACCCCCTATATCACAACACAATGCCTAGTCATGATACAATACATGTCCCCTATCATAACACAATGTCCAGTCATGATACAATATATACCCCCTATATCACAATACAATGTCTAGGCATGATACAATACATGTCCCCATCATAACACCATGTCTAGTCATGATACAATATATACCCCCTATCACAACACAATGTCTAGTCATGGTACAATATATACCACCTATCACAACACAATGTCTAGTCATGATACAATATATTCCCCCAATATCACAATACAATGTCTAGTCATGATACCACACATGTCCCCTACCTTAATACAATGTCTAGTCATGAAACCATACATGTCCCCTACCTTAATACAATGTCGAGTTATGATACCATACATGTCCCCTACCTAAATATAATGTCTAGTTATGATACCATACATGTCCCCTGCCTTAATACAATGTCTAGTTATGATACCATACATGTCCCCTACCTAAATATAATGTCTAGTTATGATACCATACATGTCCCCTGCCTTAATACAATGTCTAGTTATGATACCATACATGTCCCCTACCTAAATATAATGTCTAGTTATGATACCATACATGTCCCCTACCTAAATACAATGTCTAGTTATGATACCATACATGTCGCCTACCTTAATACAATGTCTAGTTATGATACCAAACATGTCCCCTACCTTAATACAATGTCTAGTTATTATACTCTATATGTCCCCTACATAAATACAATGTCTAGTTATGATACCATACATGTCGCCTACCTTAATACAATGTCTAGTTATGATACCAAACATGTCCCCTACCTTAATACAATGTCTAGTTATTATACTCTATATGTCCCCTACATAAATACAATGTCTAGTTATGATACCATACATGTCCCCTACCTAAATACAATGTCTCGTTATGATACCATACACGTCCCCTACCTTAATACAATGTCTAGTTATTATACTCTATATGTCCCCTACATAAATACAATGTCTAGTTATGATACCATACATGTCCCCTACCTAAATACAATGTCTCGTTATGATACCATACACGTCCCCTACCTTAATACAATGTCTAGTTATTATACTCTATATGTCCCCTACATAAATACAATGTCTAGTTATGATACCATACATGGCCCCTACCTTAATACAATGTCTAGTTATGATACGATATATACCCCCTATCACAATACAATGTCTAGGCATGATACAATACATGTCCCCATCATAACACAATGTCTAGTCATGATACAATATACCCCATATCACAATACAATGTCTAGACATAATACAATATATACCCCCTATATCACAACACAATGCCTAGTCATGATAAAATACATGTCCCCTATCATAACACAATGTCTAGTCGTAATACAATATATACCCCCTATCACAACGCAATGTCTAGTCATGATACAATACATGTCCGCTATCATATCACAATGTCTAGTCGTAATACAATATATACGCCCTATCACAACACAATGTCTAGTCATGATACAATATACCCCCTATCACAATACAATGTCTAGTCATAATACAATATATACCGCCTATATCACAACACAATGCCTAGTCATGATAAAATACATGTCCCCTATCATAACACAATGTCTAGTCGTAATACAATATATACCCCCTATCACAACGCAATGTCTAGTCATGATACAATACATGTCCCCATCATAACACCATGTCTAGTCATGATACAATATATACCCCCTATCACAATACAATGTCTAGTCATAATACAATATATACCGCCTATATCACAACACAATGCCTAGTCATGATAAAATACATGTCCCCTATCATAACACAATGTCCAGTCATGATACAATATATACCCCATATATCACAATACAATGTCTAGTCATGATACAATATATCCCCCCTATCACAACAAAATGTCTAGTCATGGTACAATATATACCCCATACCATAATCCAATGTCTAGTCATGATACAATATATACCCACTATCACAACACAATGTCTAGTCATGGTACAATATATACCCCCTATCACAACACAATGTCTAGTCATGATACAATATATACCCCTATCATAACACAATGTCTAGTCATGATACAATATATACCCCATACCATAATACAATTTGTATTAAAGCAACTAAAGTATTGGTAGAACCAGAAACTCCTTTATAATTATAGATCTGAGATACGTTAATGATCCAAGTAATGTCACATTCATCTATTGTTAAATATTTCGATGTTATGATTTTGAGTCCGGTGAAGTGGGATTTTATAGATCCTGTAACGGTAAATAAACTTAACTTCACAACGTCTAGTCATGATGCAATACATGTCTCCTGTCACAACACATTGTCTAGTCATGATGCAATACATGTTTCCTACCATTAATGTATGGTTTAGTCATGATACAAGACATGTCCTATACCACAACACATTGTCTAGTCATGATACTGTCTCCTACCATAATATATTATCTGACTGACAGACGGACAAACCCAAATGAACATCCCCCGTTTCAGTGAAAACGGGGGATAAAAATTCACTAGCCACTGTGTCATTTTCTCCGTCCCGTCATTGAATTCCTAATTTAATTTTCCCCACCTCCGCTCACCTGTTGATAATATTTCGTAATTGAAAAAATAGGAAAGAATGTTGAACGAGAGGCCCAGAGGGCCTGTATCGCTCACCTGAATATTTAAGCAGTCATAGCAAAATATTCTCATTAAATATTATATTGTACTACGAATATTTCCCTCGCAAACTTTGTCAGCTCCATCTGTTTAAACTACCAGCCAAATAATATTATAAGATTCTAAGCTTTTTGGTTTTTCTTCAGAAGTTGTTTGATATATTTTTCCCTGTGACCTTGGAAGTAGGTCAATGTCATTTTCCTTCTCAAACTTTGTCAGCTCTATTCCAAAAAGCGAAATGTTGTTAACCTCTGTGTGACTTTTAAAGTAGGTTGAAGACTTTTCATTTGCAATCTTTGGTGAACTCTATCCCAGGAAACCACCAGCCAAATATTAAAATTTTATGCCTTTTCGATTATTCAGAAGAAGTCGTTTGATGTTTTTGACATATTTGACACCTGTGACCTTATATGTCGAGGTTATTTTCATTCTCAAACTTTGTCGGGCTCTATCTCAGAAAGCCATCAGCCAAATATGAAGATTCTACACATTTTAGTTCTTCAGAAGAAGTCGTTTGAAGCATTTGACATATTTGACCCCTGTGTCCTTGAGAGTAGGTCAAAGTCATTTTCATTCTTAAACTTAGTCAGGCTCTATCCCAGGAATCCATCAGCCAAATATGAAGACTCTATACCTTTTAGTTCTTCAGAAGAAAATGTTTGAAACGTTTGACATATTTGACCGCTGTGACCTTGAAAGTACGTCAAAGTCATTTCATTCTTAAACTTTGTCAGGCTCTATCCCAGGAAGCCACCAGCCAAATAGAAAGACTCTATACCTTTCATTTCAGTTCTTCAGAAGAAATCGTTTGAAGCGTTTGACATATTTGATCGCTGTGACCTCAATTGAAAGTAGGTCAGTCATTTTCATTCTCAAACTTTGACGGGCTCCATCCCAGGAAGCCATCAGCCAAATATGAAGATTCCATGCCTTTTAGTTCGTCAGGAGAAGTTGTTTGAAGTGTTTGACATATTTGACCGCTGTGACCTTGAAAGTAGGTGAAGGTCATTTTAATTAAGACATTTTATAGCACTCCATACCAGGTACCTGCTGGCCAAATATCATGACCCTGGGCTCTATGGAACTTGAGAAAAAAAATGTTAAAGATTTTAACATTTTTGACCCCTGTGACCTTGAAAGTATGTCAAGGTCATTTATTTTAATGAGGAAACTGTATAGCACTCCATCCCAGGTACCTACTTGAATAATATTATGACCCTGGGCCTTATGGAACTTGAGAAGATTGTGTAAGTTTTTAACATATTTGACCCCTGTGACCTTGAAAGTAGGTCAAGGTCATTTTAATGAGAAAACTTTATAGCACTCCATACCAGGTACCTACTGGCCAAATATCATAACCCTAGGCCCTCAAGTTCTTCTGAAGAAGTCGCTCAAAGAAAAAGTTGATGGATGGACGCCGGACGCCGCAAGGGCCATGTGAGCTAAAAACTGTTGATTTGTCATTAGACAAGAACCCAGTATGCAGCTCTCACTTCGTTAGTCTGTCAGTCTTTGTTTGTTTGTTTTTGATTTAAGAGGATACACTTTTACTGTGTTGCATTCTTATAATAACAATACCTACACGTTTAATGAGCTGAAGTTGGACCACTGATACTGGCTCGCCCCAAGAGTCTGCGGTATCTTCAAACCCAATAGCACTAAGTTATGTGCACATAAATCCCTAGGAGTACTCGTAAATTTACATACACGTCATGAAATGGCACTCATTTAGAGTCAACTCTGCCAACATTGCCTTCCTATATAGACTGCCTATAAAGGAAGTCTTTACAGACAAGATTCTTTAAGATAAACCTTTCATAGCATGGTACTTCACTTACAATGTGCTATAACACCAGGGTAACGTGAATAATGGTTATAAACACATGTATTTTTTAAAATACATCTACATAATTATTTAATGTAAAAAAAAAAATAATACAGATAATTATTTTCATCAATTCAATAAATAATTAATTTAAAAATAGGTTTTTTTCTACCCTTTGAACTATAATTAAACATATTTTGAAATGTTATTTATTGTTTATAGAAGTATCTACAAACATCAGTGAAGCAGACATTTACCTGCTGAATTCTGAATCCATTTTCTTTGTGAATAAAAATCTAAACAGTTCTTTACTTCCATGTCAGAGAAATTTTCAACTTGAATTGGGACAAACGGTTCTAGCTCCTGTGAAGCCTGTAAATATACAAATAAACACCATTAACAAGGCATCACAAGACATACAAATCCCTGTGCAATCACACATTGTGCGACGTATGTATGAGGAAAGGAATTGAAAATTCAATGATGTATCAGTATCTGCTCTATCGACTGCATTCTTCGATGGATAAGAGATTTTTATTGTGCAGTTTGTATTTTGCTTGCATAAGAATATCTTTTTGTGTTTTCACATAAAAAGGCAAAAACATAATGAGAATATTGATGAAAATGAGACAGCAAAAATATTTCTGCACGAACATGTTGAAGGCAAACACTTGTATCGAGTTTCATAAAATTCTGTTGAGGAATGAAGTCGATAGAGCGATGACAATGTGTTTTCCAAAAATAGTAACATTGACCTTGACCTTCAACATAGAAACACAAAACACAAACTTTATCAAGGCATTACCATACCAAACACTTGGATAAAGTTTCATGAAGTTCTGTTGAGAAATGAAGTCGTTAGCACATTGACAAAGAGTGTAACATACAAACATACATACGGGCTGAATCCTGTATCCCCTCGAACTTTCATAGCGAGGGGATAATAATCTGTTTTGTATTGCTTTGGTATTGATCCATTTTAATTGAAGAAATCAAGGCAAAATCATAATACAGCGATGAGCTGTATATGTATGCACAAAATATTACATGGGGATTTACTATTACGTTAATGTTATTAAATAATTCGAAAGATTCTGATCACCGTACTTTGGGATATTTTAGATGTTTTGGTTTATTTGTCCATCAGCCAACTCATTTATTATGAATCAATTACTAACTTCCGTCTGCTATATTTTTCATAAAAGCGAAACTTGGAATCGCATATAATTCGGGCAGAAATGAAAAACACTCCATAAATAATGTCAAGAAAAGTATGTTTTCATGTTAAGGTGTCACAACTTTTCAGTGTCTTTTTTATATCTGTTGTATAAGTTGTGTTTAAGGGCATATATATAGGTACGTCACATTGCTAAAGGGGGAATACAGCTGTAAGTGATCTTAGAAACATTTGTTCTGTACAGTCAGGTGACAGGTAATACAAAAGGTTGTAAATTTATGGAATATGATATCAACTTGTACTATACTAATAAGGTTTTCAGTGAAAACAAAGACTAGACTCGGGAAGAGATGATCAATCCTGTCCTTTAACCAACTACTACCTTAATACAATTGAATGATATGGAGCAACTTAATAACTTTAGGCATCAAAATTTAGCATACAGGGTCATCGAAAGCCAAAAATTGACGCATCAAAATTTATCCAACCCATTTTGATGAAAAGATTGCCAAATTTTGACAACATCAACAATTCAATAAATATCCCAACGTAAGGTATACCTAAAACCTTATCAATTAATCTGATTAAAATCATATCCTACATTCACTATGTATCACGTTGCACGTTAGGCGATACGTATTGAATGTAGGAAATGATTTTAATCAGAGTGCTTATCAATGATCAGACCATACTTCAATTTTAATTCAGTCACTTAATTTCTGTAATGCCTAACCAAACTGCCGCCACTTCCATCCCCTGGCGTGTACCTTGTTTTCAATAAGTTTTTGTGAAGTTAGTCACTTACTTCTTTTCCAAGTAGATAAAATGGTGTAAACTTGACTCTCTCATTCAACTTCCTGAGTTCTTCATTTACAGTGCAAACAGCCACAACATTTTTCTGAAATTATATTTTGTGGTTATAAATAAATAATAAAAAAATTGCCAAGCTCCAGGCTCAGAATACCAAGCCTAAACTAGCATTAAGAGGATTCAGTGGAATGTTATCTTCTTATTTCTGGTTCAAATCACTTGATTTTTATAGGGGAAACATATTTACACAAAAATTCCCTTGATTCTTGAATCAATATTCTGAAAGAACAAGCGATACTGCTATTTTGTTTTATTTTGTGAAGAAATTCAATAGAGTTAATCCGACTTGTATATTGATCGTTCAAATCGGACTAATTGTCTGTAGCAAGGGGTTACACTTACTTTCACCCTCTGCGCAACCCCTCTGAAATTTGTCATAGCAAAATTGAAGGCACACAGCTAGCTATTTGATTGGTGTCAAGTAAATAAACCCTTACCAAACACTAGGCTGATATTTGTCCTTTGAAGATTACAGAGGGGAGACGCTGACCCCCTACTTCAAAGCAGGAACGTTTTACTGTTACGCCACTGCAAAATTCTTTTGACGAACATCAAAGGATCAAATTAGTCTTCTAGTCTCATCCAAAAGGTGCTGCACTCTGAGCCTTCAATTTTGCTATGACATATTCCAGGGGGTGCAGAAAGCAAAAGTGAGCGTAACCCCTTGATATCAAGGATGAGCCATTTCATGAGAGATGGCTTGTGGATGGACAAAGAAATGCTGAAAAAGGCTTTCTCACTTGCTGGGATTTAAACTGTACACATTTCTTTGTTCTGCACTAGTTTGTATGTGTAAGTTTACTTATTAATGTCTAAGGGAGTAATAGTATGCATGCATGGTTTTGTTGCATGGTTTCATCGTGACCCACGACGAAATGGATTTATCTATTTGTATCACTTTTTATTTTTTTCACTTCTTTAAAAACAACGTTTTTACCTAGTAGCCTCGATATATAGGGACAAGCTCAAAATATTCAAGAGTGTCTTAATTTCGTGAAATTATAACCCTTGTGAATATTAGCAGCTATATAGTATTTAAATAAAGCATGCGTTTCATAGCAGTGGTTTTATTCTTATTCATAGCAGTGGTTTTATTCTTATTATAAATTTACAAACTGTAAATTACTATTTCTGTACAATATGGTAAATAATGGGAAGAGTCATTTTCATCAAAGAACTGTTCCATACAGAAGTAAAACTATAAATTCTTCATTCACATGCATATTCTAGGTTGATAACATGTTAAAATATATATTCCTTGACGGATACCCTAATCACAATGTTGACATATGCAGCTATCCATATCCTCCATGGTTTTGAGACTCAGTACTATTTATAAGAACGTGTACACTTCTACTGTATTTCTTATCTTTCATGTATTTTCAGTTATTCAATGTTTCAAAAATACCTGTCAAACAAGTATATTCCGTGGCTTTGGGTGTTTCGGATACCAATTAACTTAAGATTGTCATCACATGTATCAATTTATCCTCAGTTAGCTATGAATGATCGAATACTGAACAACAAATAATCAGAATCGTTATTAAATTCTTCCATATTTTTATACATTTGATTCATAGAACTGTATCATTCCTTTAAATGCAAAACATATAACCAAAGAACTATATATAGTTCAGGCCTTTCTTGGCCCCAAAATCCATCAAGATAAAAAATCTTCAATAGAACTTACAAATGACTGTTCCTTTAATTTTGAATACTTCCCCGGTTCCATTGTGTAAACATTTATTTGTGTTTTCAATTATGGCTGTCATGGTAAACAGTTAATTTTTTCATAAACTCATGAAATTTGAATATTCAGTCAATTTTTACAGGTTTTCGCCTAGTTTTTCTCTTAGCCACCATAGAGCGCACTCTTGAACAAACTTTATATATCTTCTAAAGATGTATTACAGGTGCCTACACATTATCCTTTGATATTAAGTTTGTTCAAGCGCTCCATAGTTCCCAGGAGAAAAACTATGCAAAATATGACTATTAACCGAGTATACAAATTTCTCAAATTTATGCAAATTTGAACTTGTTACCATGGCAACCATAATTAGAAATCGAATAAATATTTTCATGATAGTATTTGGGAAGTTTTCAAAATTAAAGAAACAGTCATTTGAAAGTTCATTTAAAGGTTTTGAATTTTGATGCATTTGGGGGCCAAAACACGCCCAAACTATACATAGTCCTTTGAATTTCTATTTCCTTTTCTTTATTGTACTGCGAGCAGCCAGACATAACCTATAAGGCTAACATGAAATACAAGATTGCCATCACTATAATGATGGTTAACCAAGGTACCTAACATTGATTTTCTCCCCAAAAGTTGGACCTTACATTGCCAGAATTAAGAATTCTTTTGAAACTGTCCACCAGGCAAAGCTTCTCAGCATGGATCTGGTAAAATGAAAAAAGTAAAATTCATAAAATAGAGAAATAATGTAATGGTACAAGTTAAAAAGCATACGAGCAATAGTATTTGTTTTAATGAATGTGTACAATGATTATGCATGTGATGTACATTAAGTGTGAAATTTACATCATATTTGCATTATTACTGCTTTTTATGGAATATAATTTTTACTTTTCATAATTGAAAATTGATTTGGTGATCGACAAAATATTACAAGTTTTAGCAATTGGATAAGCTATCAAATAAGTGACTGAAAAATTCCTTGTTTACAGTCTCTGTGTGTGTGCCAAAGATGGGACATCATGCTTACAAATCTCTGGGGTTGCAGCGGCTCTCTCATATTAGTGGGTTGGTAGAATCCATTCAAGCCGTCAATAACAAGAAGAACTTTGAACCTGAAAAAAACATAAAAAGAAATTGTCTGTGACAGTGTCAAAACTGTGCCCGAAATGGGTTACTTATGCTTGTCATGTCTTTGAGAGATTTTTTTTATTATTTGTAAGCATTTATGAATATAGGTTGTTTATTGTCTCGGCTGATCTGACATTTGGAATTGAAATCAGGTTATTTTGTTTATGAATTTTTCAAATACATAAAATATTTTCATTAATTGTCAATGTGATCGACAAGGATTTCAGCAACACGGCCTAATGTAACTGGTAATTCCAATACCTGATTTTCACAAATAACATGGTGTCTCTTGCCTGTCAAAAGTTAAGGTAAACTCATTCACCCCTGAAATTTCACAATGAACTGTTCAAACCTTTGAATTGGACAAGTTCAAATGTGTCTTCAGGGGTGAAAGAGTTAATGAGGTAACTTTCTTAACTATCAAGAAAACCATCAAGAATTGAGCATTATCATAAATCTGATGGGTACAAATATGTAACGTTTCTCTTGCCTGTAACAAGTTCAGTCTCATGAATGAGTACAGTTTCCCACATCTTTTTTTAATCGAACTTCGAAGATTCAAACTTCTGAATGTGTCAAACTTATAGCAAAGTCTGGATTGTTTTCCTTATATAACACTATTTGCATTCTATTCCTAAATCAAACTTTTATGAGTCGACTTTCTCGCTGTTTTGAAGTATAATCAAGGTCTGTTTGTTATGAAAACATTGATTTTTACCTCTTGGAATCACTACTTTGATGGTCAATATTTGTAAATCAATGACCTGATGATTCAAATTTTTCAAGATGATCCAATAGAGTTCAAAACATCGAAGTTTGACTGTATATACCATGGTCTCCAAAGTTCAAAACAGCTAGCTGATTTTAACTAAATAATTACCTGTAAGAGTGACACTTTATACAAATTGTGTCAAAAATTACATCTTTAAAAGAACTGTTATCAGAAATTTTATCAATGTGATAAACAGAACCACCAATATATTTTCATGACAGAATTTATCAAATAAACTGATTAGCTAATGCAATTAAATTGAGTGACATGTGCAATTAAACTTGTTTGCTAAACAAAGCTGCGTTTGTCACAATTAAACTTGTCTGCTAAACAAAGCTGCGTTTGTCACAATTAAACTTGTTTGCTTAACAAAGCTGTGTATGTCACAATTAAACTTGTTTGCTAAACAAAGCTGCGTTTGTCACAATTAAACTTGTTTGCTAAACAAAGCTGCGTTTGTCACAATTAAACTTGTTTGCTTAACAAAGCTGTGTATGTCACAATTAAACTTGTTTGCTAAACAAAGCTGCGTTTGTCACAATTAAACTTGTTTGCTAAACAAAGCTGCGTTTGTCACAATTAAACTTGTTTGCTTAACAAAGCTGTGTATGTCACAATTAAACTTGTTTGCTAAACAAAGCTGCGTTTGTCACAATTAAACTTGTTTGCTAAACAAAGCTGCGTTTGTCACAATTAAACTTGTTTGCTTAACAAAGCTGTGTATGTCACAATTAAACTTGTTTGCTAAACAAAGCTGCGTTTGTCACAATTACACTTGTTTGCTAAACAAAGCTGTGTATGTCACAATTACACTTGTTTGCTAAACAAAGCTGTGTATGTCACAATTACACTTGTTTGCTAAACAAAGCTGCATACGTCACAATTACACTTGTTTGCTAACCAAAGCTGTGTTTGTCACAATTACACTTGTTTGCTAAACAAAGCTGTGTATGTCACAATTAAACTTGTTTACTAAACAAAGCTGTGTATGTCACCATTACACTTGTTTGCTAACCAAAGCTGTGTATGTCAACATTACACTTGTTTGCTTAAAAAGCTGTGTATGTCACAATTACACTTGGTTGCTAACCAAAGCTGTATATGTCACAATTACACTTGTTTGCTTAACAAAGCTGTGTATGTCACAATTACACTTGTTTGCTTAACAAAGCTGTGTAGGTCACAATTAAACTTGTTTGCTTAACAAAGCTGTGTATGTCACAATTGCACTTGTTTGCTTAACAAAGCTGTGTATGTCACAATTAAACTTGTTTGCTTAACAAAGCTGTGTATGTCCCAATTACACTTGTTTGCTTAACAAAGCTGTGTATGTCCCAATTACACTTGTTTGATTAACAAAGCTGTGTAGGTCACAATTAAACTTGTTTGCTAACCAGAGCTGTGTAGGTCACAATTACACTTGTTTGCTAACCAGAGCTGTGTAGGTCACAATTACACTTGTTTGCTAACCAAAGCTGTGTTTGTCACAATTACACTTGTTTGCTAAACAAAGCTGGGCATGTCACTATTACACTTGTTTGCTAAACAAAGCTGTGTATGTCACAATTAAACTTGTTTGCTAAACAAAGCTGCATATGTCACAATTAAACTTGTTTTCTTAACAAAGCTGTGTATGTCACAATTACACTTGTTTGCTTAACAAAGCTGTGTATGTCCCAATTACACTTGTTTGCTTAACAAAGCTGTGCAGGTCACAATTAAACTTGTTTGCTTAACAAAGCTGCATATGTCACAATTAAACTTGTTTGCTTAACAAAGCTGCATATGTCACAATTAAACTTGTTTGCTTAACAAAGCTGCATATGTCACAATTAAAATTGTTTGCTTAACAAAGCTGTGTATGTCACAATTGCACTTGTTTGCTTAACAAAGCTGTGTATGTCACAATTACGCTTGTTTGCTAAACAAAGCTGTGTATGTCACAATTACACTTGCTTGCTTAACAAAGCTGTGTATGTCACAATTACACTTGTTTGCTTAACAAAGCTGTGTATGTCCCAATTACACTTGTTTGCTTAACAAAGCTGTGTAGGTCACAATTAAACTTGTTTGCTTAACAAAGCTGCATATGTCACAATTAAACTTGTTTGCTTAACAAAGCTGTGTATGTCACAATTACACTTGTTTGCTAACCAGAGCTGTGTATGTTACAACTACGCTTGTTTGCTAAACAAAGCTGTGTATGTCACAATTAAACTTGTTTTCTTAACAAAGCTGTGTATGTCCCAATTACACTTGTTTGCTTAACCAAGCTGTGTAAGTCACAATTACACTTGTTTGCTGTGTATGTCACAATTAAAGTTGTTTGCTAAACGAAGCTGCATATGTCACAATTAAAATTGTTTGCTTAACAAAGCTGTGTAAGTCACAATTACACTTGTTTGCTAACCAAAGCTGTGTATCTCACAATTAAACTTGTTTGCTAACCAAAGCTGTGTATGTCACAATTACACTTGTTTGCTTAAGAAAGCTGTGTAACAGCTCACTTGTTTTCTGTAGCACAGGTCATCACTTCATCCAGCAACATGTCCACCACATCATCAGCGTATTTCTGACGGAGCAAACCCTACAACAGGCATATTCTGCAATTCAGTAACCATGTTTTTCGGGGAAAGAAATTTTCCTAAAGAGTTGCCTAACTTCCACCTCAAGTCCCCTTTCATGTTGAGTTATAAAGGCATAAGGAAAGCTTTTAGATTCTTGTGTACATACAAATCGATTTTCTTTACCATGCTTATGTTTGTGAGTATGACAACCATTATTGACCAAGAGATTATTAAAGCTAGACCTCTTATTTTTCAATTTTCTCCTACATGAAAATAGTCAATGATAAAGTTGCCTTTTTCCTCAAAATGTATCAAAACACTTACAAAGTCTATTAAGGACTGGAGAGGGCTTCCTGCTTCTGTTACTTCTTTTTTTGTCCATTCAATGCTCTTTGTCACCTAAAAATGACAAAACTTTTAAATCACCTGCAAGAGTTTTTGTGATTATGATTACTTAGCTTTTCCTTCACATCCAATATTTATCCTCAAATTAGCCTGACGGGTCAACACGTAATCGATGAATCAAAGTAGTGTGGTGGACTTCTAACAGGGCAATGAAATAGCATTTGTTGGCATTTTTGCTGAACTACAACTTATGGTGGGCTTATTGCTTGAAAAACATGGTACTATATTACAGCTATTATTGTGCATGTTATCATATTTTGCCATGTTTGCATTTAAATCCAAAACTAATGTGCCACTTCCCACCAACTAGCAGCAGTCTGTGAACAAGGCTTCGGGAATTGGTGAAAAGATCTCTGCAAAATTTCACATTTAAATTGTATATATAATATTTGACCATGTTTGCGATGTAACCACTGAAACATATTTCACACCATACTAAATTAAACAGATATAAAAAAACATCTAAATAGCCAATTAAAGTAAAGGGTACCACTGTTTTAGTTATAATTGTGAAGAAGAGTTCCTGTGACTTCCATTGGTAGTTTTTCAGACTTTGAATGAAGTAATCTCCCTTTTAAAAAGAAGATAAAACAACCAGAAGGAGTTGTTTTCTCTGGCAAAGTTGCTTCCCCTGTCACGGTATGCATCTTTCAATGATCATTGTTTTTATTTTCATAGGCCTTGGGACCCATAATTTGGACTCTCATTTTGATGTTACTAACAGTTAGGCCTATATAAATCCAGTATAGTAACACTAGTAAATATAGCTAGACTTGGCAATATAAAGTTATTGAGTCTGACCTCTGTAATGAATAACTGTAATTCTGTACAATGCATTGCAACAAGTGATTTTCATGGAATACTTTTTTTTTAATCGAACTGAAATTAATATTCATAATATTGGCAATGGTAACTAGAGTAATTGTAAACGAGCTCACAAAATATATACCTTTTGCTTCATTTTATCTACGTATGTAAAAGAGGAGTTGTGGTTACAAGGTTGCTGGAGCAGAAATTAAAGATTCAAGGGCCATAACCCAAGGAAAAATTGTTAAAATTGCTAATTCCTTTCTCCATGCACATCTCCACAATGTACTTTCACCGTACCAAGCTATAAAACAATTCTTAGCAATAACTACACAAAAAAAAAATGGAATCCCAAATCCTATTCTTCATGCACATCTAAGTATGACGTATAACAAGAAAATCCAATAAACAGTTAACTCATTCACCCCTGAAATTTCACAATGGACTATTCCAACCTTTGAATTGGAAGAGTTCAAATGCATCTGCAGCGGTGAATGAATTTAAGAGGGTTTGCATTTACAAGGTTTCTGAAGAAAAAACTAAAGTTTCAAGGGTCATAAAGCAATGAACTCCCAGAAAAGAAGATGAATCGCAAATTCCTTTCTTCATGCATATCTACATATGATGTTTTTTCAATGTGCCAAGTTACAAAAAAATCCAACAAACAGTTTAGGTAGAATTGTGCTTACAAAGTTCATGGACAGACGGACGGACAGGTTATTTGCATTAACAAGGTTCCTAAAGATTGCCTCGAAAAGCCTGGTGCTAAACCTAAAAAATTATCTCACCCTCTGGTTGAAATATCTCTGTCTACATCACACAGGAGTGATAGATTCTATTATTCCTACATGTATACCGTATACTCTCTCCCCAAACCTTGGGGGGGGGGGTTGTAATATTTTAGTAAGTCTAACATATCGGTACCCTTTACCTTACGTTACTGCATTGTACCTTCATGTCCTTTATCAATGGAGCATTGAGAGCAGCAAAATGGGAGATCCATTTTTGAGCTTGTTCTGGTATATTGGTGAAGCCAGCTTTTGAGGTGGAGGGAGTTGTGTTAGTGCGGGCACGTATCCAGTCGTTCACTGAAGAGTAATGTTATTACAATATATTTCCCACATATATATACCACGTTATTGTTAATAACCTCATTTTTAATCAGTAATTATACATTGTATTCTTTTATTACAAACTTTTTAAAATGATTGGAATTGTGTCGTTTGAGGCAGTGATATTACAGTATAGTATCATTTATAATCTGTGTGATGAATGATTTTCATCGCAATTGAACTTCGCCCTTTTTCACCCTCAGAGGATGAGTAGAGTGTGATGAACGATTTTCATCGCAATTGAACTTCGCCCTTTTTCACCCTCAGAGGATGAGGAGATTATTGGTAATTACATATTAATTAAAAGCAAAATTGTCCGCCCAAGATAATATGGATTTAAGGGCAAAAGTTTCCCATTATACAGTTATCTTAATTTATGCTTTCATCAAACCATGTACATATTACTCTTACCTTATTCTTTTTCAATTGTCTACAGTATGGTTCACACAGGCTATGACAGGAAATTTAAATTTTTAAATTTTACTATTATGTGACTAAACATCTTTTGTTGAGTTTCATTGTAAGGTTGATTTCATAATAAGTAACTGTCTTACCCAATGGTATATTAAGCAGCATGTGATTTTGTTTGCCACAATAATGCATCACATGACTAATTGTGGATGTCTTTCCACCACCTCTCTTTCCATCTATTAAAGGTCAAGGTCAATGAGAGAATTTTTTATTTATTTGCTAATTAACAAATGCTCATTCCATTTACACAGAAGAAACAAAGGGCTTTCAGAAAATTTTACTTGTCTTTGTTTAAAGTCAATGAAATCTTCCTCCTGATCACCAATTTCTGTAAATATCTAATATTGAACAAGACCGATCACACATTTCATTTATAGCATTACATTTGTTTTCCTGTTATCAAACTGAGCCCCACTAGTATAATAGGCTATTTTTACCAAAGCAATCATGATCAGTCATGGTCAATTTGTTGTACTATATTTGATTAGTTGGTTATTGGTACAATTCAACTGCTTCTCAAAAATCATGAAAAGGATACAGACAATAAACTTTGGTAAAGGACAGTTATAGCTGCTTTTTTTAATAATGTCAATTATTTCCAAGGCTGGTTTCCGAATCATCAGATATAGGCCTCCAAATGTACGGGCCTGTGAAAAGAACAATATTTCTTCTATAAATGTATAAAACATAATCACAAAAAAATGAATAAATTATCAATGAATTTCAACTATTGCACAAAAACTTAAACCTGGAGATTTTAACAAAAACAGTAAAATACAAAACAGATATAAAAAAAATCAAGAAGATTGTGATATTTAGTTTTAACAGTAAGTACACTTGAACTTAACAAGGCAACACCAATGCTGGTATTAATGCTGTGACTACAACATTATTCTTCAAAATATCATAAATAAAAAAAGTACAGTACAGCACTGCATCAAAATTTGCTTACCTGTATTCTGTAATGTGAATCAATAAAACTGGGGAAAAACCGCGTTTGGTCCTCCTGGCTGACTATGTAATATATTCCTTCATAATCCATAGCATGCTCTGACTGTGGACACAAGATATAAATTGATGACAATTTTAACAAGGGCACCGAAAAGCGATACATAATACGCCCGTCACATATTGAATGACCAGTTGTTTGTATGGTTGAAATATGAAATATTTTTGAGTAATTAATGGTAGAGAATAAAATATTTTTTTAAACATGATAGATCAATAAGTGTAATACAACATCATGGAATGCATGTAGTATTGCATTATTGAAACCAATAACTCTATCAATTATAGTGAAATATTCAGGACACATAACTCCAATAATCATGATGGGATACTCAATGTTGGCCATGAAAACAGTAGTTGATTATCTTGATGACCTGTGATATGACCCCAGATTGTATTTGTTTAGGGTTCAATGTCTTATTAACCGCTAAGGTCATCATCTAAGGACGTGATATGACCAAAGAACTATGACATCAACAATAGAATGACATAAAATTGATCACATTCCAACATAAGTTGTAGGGTATTTTCACTCAATTTCTGTTAACGCTTTTATCCTGCAAAAAGCCAATTGATGAATAGTCCAAAATAAGCTGAAATAGCAATGCAAGCGGACACCGTTTCAGAAAGTGGATAAAGGGCCTTAACTCTGTCAGTTACCATAGGATAATGGTGGTTATCAAACTTGTCGGAGCTGTAATAAATTATGGTAATTTACCTTTCTATGAGTATCGAACTTGTCCGAGCTGTTATAGTAATAAAGCCTCTTAGGAGGGAATGTTTGAATTTAATCTGTTGAAAATTAATGGAGATATCCAGTGGACACTCAATTTGGAAAGTGGATAAAGGCTCCTAACTCTGTAAGTTACCGTTGGATATAGGTGGTTATGGAACTTGTCTGAGGTGTTATGGTAATTAACCTTCCTATGAGGTTTGAATTTAATCTGTTGAAAATTAATGAAGATATCTAGCGGACACCAAGCGTGTGCTAACTAAGTGTATGCCTTTTAACTTCAGTAGCACTAAACATTTTTATAAGTTTATTTGAATACAAAGCCTGTAATTCTATGATATATAATTCATAATATACACTGAAGCAATGTGCATAATGTAATACATGTAGTCTTAAATTTCATTTCTTTCACAGAAATGAGCAAATCCAGACAGATTTTGATAAAACTGAAATTCATTACTCATATTGACATAACTTTAACTATTTTGTTTACATATTATACATTGATCACATATATATATATAGAGGCTGTTATGCAGTGTAACTAAAACACTGATAGGTCAGCAAGGGCCTCCCCTTGTGCCTGTATCCACCCTTCCCCAGTCTATTGGTAGTCAAAGTGACCTTGAGTTTCACCTTAGAAACTTCATGAATCCCTTTGGCTACTGCACATCTGCATTCACAGTGTATCACCTAGTCAAATTTAAATGGGATTATATTTTTGGATTCCAATATACAGACCTTATGCCAACAAGGCTTATTTTTAGAAACATTGACCTTGACCATAGAATTATTTTTTTTAATCCCTTTTGCACATCTACATATATATCACAGTATATCACCATGTGAAATTTCAGAAATATCAGCCTTTTGGATCCCGAGATAATCGTCGTAAACGAAAGTGTGGACAGATGAACCAAGACAACCAGACCAAGTGATCACTATCCGACACCTGCATCAGACCTGTGATGCAGGGCCATAATAACAATTTAATACACACATATATATATATGTAGCGTGTAATATCAACAAATATGAAGTCACAAGTAACAATATTGTGTCACTGCCACATAAATTGTGGCCAAAATTAGTTTGATTTCTCTTTGATTTCTCCAATAAAATTATTTTAAAATATGTGTAATTGTTCATCAGCTAAAAGAACCTCAAACTAATTTTGTGATAATACTATGTAATGTGCACTTGCTCCAGATCCTCTGTGTTTGTACAATATATATATGTGCATAATGAATTTTAATTTGATAAAATCATCTGGTTTTTCTTCAGATATTGTTAAAGAAATAATAAATGGATGGCATCAACCACACCATATGCATGTACACTTGCCCCAACCGTCCCAAGCCTTTCAAACAGGTGAGCTTATAAATATATATTAAGATGAAAGAAATATACATCACAGTCAATGTTCCATATTAAAGACAATATATACTAACTGGATCTGACTGTTCGGTCATGAACATGTCTTGACTTGTAATCCTGCTTTTTGCAGATTTACCAAAGAGGTCAGCAGGTTCCCTTTTACCAAGGAGTGAATCATCCTCTTCGGATGAGTCACTAGAACTTGAGCTCTCGGATGACGAAGAACCCTGTGCTGAATGTTCTTTTTTAGAAGCAGCATCCTCTCTTGCTTTCCTCAAACTATCAGCAAAGGAAGGTCTATGTACTGGTGGCCTTGCGACTTCATTTGTTGGGTCTGAACCATCTTCAGATGATGTCCCAAGAAAGGACTTTTGAATTTGTCGAACACGATGCAAAGGGCCTGTAATTTAACCAAAACATTTAAATAATGATCATAATATATTATTCACACAATAGCATCTGAATGTGGATAAAAAACATACAATTAGGACCTGATTTTGTGAAGAAAGTATTGACCATTTATGCATAGTAAAACATGCCTTAGTGATCGCTGCCGAAAATATTTGTCTATTTACAGTAACAGTGATCCTGACCTTTATTGACCATCAGACTTTTGGTATTTTATGGAAGCAGCGCTAGCGTATGAAGTGCGAGTCTGTTCAGCCAACAGGAACTCCAGTTGAGCAGAAACCAACTTTCAATTGTCCGTACCACCAAGTGACCTTGGTATTTGACCATCAGACTTGTAAAACAATCCCTATGAAAGCACTCTGTAAGGAAGCAGTGTATTAAGTTGTTAAATTGTTTACTTGTTATTATTTCTGTTTTTTCTGTTTGTTTTGTTACGAAGGACAATGTCACTAAGTTCATATCCTAATTATATATAAGGATACAAGGAAAGACTCAGATGGCATATATGTTTTTACATTGTTCTATTTCTCATTTCTAATTATTATTTTCATTTGAATTCTCTGAAAACCTCATATAAAAATATAGACACTATCGATCTATGGCACACACAAATATTCTGTCATCTAACTTCATGGTTTAATTTAATAGCTAGTCATCAATATATGATGGTAATAAGTAAACAAATCTCAAAGGAACTACATTTTCTGTATTTAACACGTTACCTATACACCTTGTAAAAAACATGGCATCGTTTTTTTGTGTTTTTTATTAATATCAACAGTCGTCTGTGTATGATGACTTAATAAATTAATCAATCAATAAATTTAATAAAGTGTCAGACAATGTATATGTTTATATACACATTAAGAGTCATTATGATAATCAAGTTTATTTTTTCCAGACACTATATTTTAAGATTTAAACCTCTAATTCCCCTATTTGGGCCCATCCCTCTGCACCAAGAGGGGCAACACCCTCCGTTTCTATATTATTAAGATACAATTATAATATTAAGGTGTACATAAAATATGACACAATTATTGTATACATAATAGAACATTAGTATCATAACTGTCTCCTTTTTTTAATCATAGAATATATGCTGATTTGGCTAAAATTTTCATTCACAAGATGTACAATTTATCAGACAAGTTCACAGTTTAAAACTTTTCAATAAAAGGTGCTGCTTCAAGTAATGATAAAATCGTAAAATATCATGTGTAACAAAGGTCAATTATAACAAGAGGCCCAGAGGGACTGTATCGCTCACCTGGATAATAAAGAAACCAAGGAAAACTATTCTTATTACGGTACATAAAATACTGCAAATATTTCCAAATATTTGCTCGGTCTCTCAGCAAAACCTGTTCCTCATTAGGTCCCCTTCTTTCTGCCCCCATGAATTGTGGTGGATTAACCTCGCCCCTCTGCCCCCTTTAGTCCCCTTCTCCAAAGGATGCTCCAGACCACATATGGTAAAAATAACTCCAATTGTAAAGAAGAAGAAGGATTTGAAAGGTTTAAACCTCAAATTCCCTTCAGGGACCCTCCTCTCTGCACCAAAAGGGACAACACCCTCCGTTTATAGAAAATTGAGTCCCCTCTGGCCATGGATGCTCCAGGCCAAATTTGGATAAAATCCCTCCAATGCTACAGAAGAAGGATTTTAAATATCTAAACCTCAAATTCCCCTATTGGGCCCTGCCCCTCAGCACCCAGAGGGGCCACTCCCTCCGTATATACAAAATTGAGTCTCCTTTGCCCAAGGATGCTCCAGGCCAAATTTGGATAAGATCCTTCCAATGGTACAGAAGAAGGATTTTAAAGGTTTAAACCTCAAATTCTGGCCTTGGGGCCCGCCCCTTAGCACCCAGCAGTGCCACACACTCCGTTGACACAAAATTCAGTTTCTTTTGCCCAAGGATGCTCCAGGCAAAAATTTTCTATGAAATCCCTCAAATGGTCAAAAGAAGGATTTTAAAGGTTTAAACGTCAAATTCCCCTATTTGGCCCTGCCCCTCAGTACCCAGAGGGGCTACACCATCTCCTTCGGACCAGGTGAGCTTATTAGGACTAGTAGCATTTTAAAGGAAAAGATGACGGACAGACAACGGATGCTGCAGTATGGCATAAGCTCATTATGGTCCTTCGGACCAGGTTAGCTAAAAAAAGTATTTGATTTTCTAAAATTTGTATTTAATTTTCTGAAATATTTGCATTTAAAACAATAGAAACAAGTCGGGTCTTCTAATGACACTATTCCTGTTGGCGGTATCAGGATACCCCTTATATATATGTTCCTGATTTGTTTTACCTGAGTGAATCAGCAAAAAAGATTGCCAGGGAAGAAAATGGGATACAATAAAAGATTACAATTAAGCCACTCACGAAAGCCATTAATTTGAGGTTTTCTGAGGTGAAATGTTTGGGGCGTAAATGTATTTCGGGTCGAAATAATCAAAATTGGGACATGACATCTTTAAGCGTTACGGTTTTGGGGCGAATCGTCTGACACTCTTGTAGAACCTAACCTATTTTAGGGCGAAACAACCTGGGCGAACGGGATTTAGGGCGAAACGACCTGACACCTCTAAAACAAGTCCAGCACGATTCGAAACGAGTCTAACTTAAAGTCGATTCCCTCGCAAGTTAAGTTTAAGTTTAATATGTACCAGAAAACAAAAACTTTAGGAAGCAGCCCCCTCAACACGCATCTTTGCTGACCCCCTCTCCGCCTACACTTTAGTTGTTGCTTACGTGTACAAAGTCTTCGAGAAAGCAAGGAGGACAATACTACTTTAACACTGGTATTCATCTTGCGTTTATGCTTGTATGGAGATATTTCAATTATCCATTAGGTGGCCTGCTACATCCAACGTTGCTTCACTGAGAGCTGACATATGTGTTAGTGCATTATGGGTAAAGATACGAGCACCTGTCCTTCGCTGTTTATTCGATAACAAATGCCTAGATGCATATTATGAAATATGTACCATTAGGCAGTATTTGTATATTTATTCATAAATTCACAAAACGGTGACGACAGTTAGGAGAATTAAACGTATTTACGCGTCTAGTCATTTGCATATGAATTGCACCAAAACAACTTTTACAATTCATCCGGGCTGACACGCCACAGTTTCTAAAACGACCTTGACATTAAAATATTGTACGTCTTCTTCAGTTTTATGCGGACAAACTAAACATTGACCTCGAAACTAGTATTTAACAATCTGTGATTGATTGATATATGCAAACTGGTTAAAATCTTTGTAAAATTTACCTACTTTATTGTTTTTCGGAAACGAGGAAATTAATACCCCTACGCTTCCCAACCACAAACGCCATATTGGTCATAATAGATTATGGCGTAGTGGATTGTGTTTTGAATTGGCAATCTGTGATTATTCCGTTTCTCGTTTTAATCACTTTGAATACATAACAGGTAAGACCAATATGGATCTCCATGATATATATACATGAATTTAAAGTCGATATATGTCTTTCATTGTTGGAACGTCTCGTGGTTTTGGCGGGTAAGACGGTAAGATGCGTGTGTGGATTTCCTTGGCTTCTCTTCTGTGATTGATTTTGAAGTGAACCATTGCAGAAAGGTGCGATTGTGTGCAATAACGTCACAGTTTGTGTTTTATATTGCAACTCCCAGTTGCAAACATTCATACTCTGATTAACACAAACTTGAAATGGAATCTTGCACTACGGTACATGTGCGATAAACAAGTCGGACGGTGTGATTTACCTGCCATGTGTGAATCAACAGTGTGTATTGTACTGACTCGAATCATATTTACGTTTTGTCAGCCAAGGAATCGATTGGGATACAATGGAGATTGATGGATTTACGAAACAGTGTTTACGCGATAAATAACACGAGTATTTACACGTTTATATCAAAACGAAATCGTGTATAAATGTGTTGTTTTGGTGTTGTGTATTCCACAATACACTGACCCAAATAACAACAGACGAGGATATCCTGACATATTTGTGTTTATCCCGTTAATTACCCTCAGGTCCTTCACTTGACTCATGTATTATCTTGTTTAAAAAGAATATTTTGTCCTTATTATTGTTATAGTAAATAACTTGTTTTGAAAAGAGTTAGCCTCATAGGATCTATCAATTATTAATCATCTTTTTAGTGTTTAGTATTTGGGGCTGAACCGACTATCACTATTTTATATATGTAAATACTATATTCTTGAAGACTTAACAATTTCATATATTCATGTTAATGTTATGTTATACAGAAAACATATCTAATGTGATGGGTGTTGCACACTATTGGGGAACCAATTCCACAAACCTGTCAACTATGAAAATATTTTAGGTAATAATGGGCATTCAAAAAGTAACCCTGAAGTTTATATTACACGAGTGTAATCAACAATACACTCATTTACAAATTAGGCAATAATTACTGAACTACAAATTAGAAATAACAACCATAACAAGTATGACCTGGCAAAATATCTTCCTGCATAAGTGAGAATTAATATCTTCCTTCTATTGAATTCTTAAACCTAAAGGATGACTGCTACCTGCAACGTACAAACATAATATAATGATTAGTTAAATGAAATAGTAAACCCCTGTAGTTATATAAGTAAAGCACCAGTGTATATATACTGTTTAATACAAATCAGATGAGATTCTTTTTTACCAGTATGCCTTGGCCAGGTAAAAAATCATATGAATATTCAACTAACATCGATCATGACCCGTCAAACAAAAAGCTGCTAATATTATTATATAACCTCCGACACAGCTACATGCATACACGAAGCTACTATTTTTTCAGTATAATGTAATGTAGATTAACAGTACACCTGCTGTATCGGAACAAAATGTCAGGATAGTGAATTAAACAGCTTCAATAGGAAGAATAACAAACAGAAATACACCTGATATTTAAGGTAGTTTGTGATGGTTAATTCTAATGCATCTAGTTATTATTTTTATGTCAGAACATGATGCTGTTTAATTAACCATATGTAAGCAATTGCTGGCCTTAATGCATGTTCTTGTTGTCATGCATTCATTTCAGTCAATTCTCTAAAAGATGGATCTTAATTCCGAAACTACCTATTTACTATTATACATTTAGAGTTATCACCCACATGCAGATTTGTGAAAAAAATTGGGCATGGGACAAATGGATTGTGCATCCCGGACCCTGGCAAACTGGACTAGAGACATGTTAATTTTGTTATGCTGATTATCTGATTAAAGATGTAAGTTTCAGTCTATTAATATACATAGGAAACAAAATTCAGGAAAAATATCCATAGAGGTTAAAGATTTGCTGACTTGGGTTAACTCCCTTTAATCATCCCTCTATGTTGTCAATATAGCAATATATTTTTTCTTGCAGGTTGTCCTTCACTGCAGAAACGGGTCTGGTCAGTCAACCATATGACTAAGACGAAGGCTTTGGCCTGGGGTTGTGTGGGGAAGACATGAGTGGGGCGGGGCCAGGAGCCTGTGCGGGTCAAAGTTCTAAGGAGGATACCAACCACACCCTTGATTCAAACTCCAGTTCTAGCAGTACTGATTCAACGTCGGGATCATCAGACAGTGAATACAGCTCATCAGATAAAGAATTCTCAATTCAAGCAACAAACTATTCAAGAGGACAATTAAAACTCAAGATTTCTGCCCGAAGGAAAAGTTCAACGTCACAAACATCTCCATCAGCAGATGAGGACAACATCCTATCAGAACTAAGTGACAGTTCTGAGGAAGATACAGGCTTGTACAATCAGGATACTGAGGTATGCAAACAGGAGTGGTCATTTAAATACCTTGTAATCACAACACTGGTTTAATAGCAGTTAATTCAAAAGTTCCACCTTGAGTACCAGCACTTTACTTTCACTTATAATCTATCATAGCCATACTGTTCCCAAGGAATATTGGTTAATTTTTTGTAAAATGTATCAAAATGGCACATTTATTAATTATTAAAGTGAAAGTTATTTCAATTCATTGCTGTTTAATAAAACAAACTCTGTTTATTCTGAACGCAGGCATATCTGCCTCTATATTCAGATCAAAGCCCATAGTCCATTAAATTTTTATAATATAAAATTCAAAAGATATCGGACTAATGTTTCTTATCTTCCTTTTCAGCAAGCATCAAGAACTGCCAGTGTGCAGTATGTCAGGAAAACAAGGTGTCCGAAGACTTCAGTCTCATCTGCAAATGCAACAACAGACAGTGATGATGTTTTCCACAATAAAGATAGCTGTCCGGATCCAGGAAAGCAATTAGATAAGAACGGATCTAAGTCAACTCTTAACACCAGCACAAGTATCGGAGTTAAAAAGAAAACAAATAGCAACGAAAATGATCAACCTCCAGTTGCTTGTGCTAGTCAATCTCTGTTAAACAAGTGTTCTAAAGAAGTTGATGAGGGTGGTAAGCTAAATCCAAATAGCAAAACTAGTAGTAAAGCTACAAAAGGAAAATCACCCTCTTTGAATCAACATAGTAAGAAATCTTCCTCAAAAGGTTTGAATAAGAAATCATCAAAGTGTGGCACAGCTGATTTCACTCAGTTGAAGAAAACCTTGACTGAGAAAATGGCGGCTAAGGAAACTGACAAGCAAACCAGAACACCTACACCGATAGAAAAGAGAAATATGGGTGATATGGATGTAGAAAAAATAAAAAATTGTGAAGAAAATGAGTCGGCTGGAAATCATGTTTCGAATACCTGTGATAAGGATTCTCAAAATAGTGAAATTAGAAGTGACATGACTTCAGAAATAAAAAGTTCAACTGCACTAGAAGCTGATGGCACTGGCGATCCCTCGGCAAGGGACAGTCTAGACAACAAACAACATGATAACATATTTGAAAGAATGACGGCATTTGGATTTCTTCCCCCTAGTGAGACGAGTAACAATACTAACAACAGTAGTAAATGTGAAACATCAACCAAGCCAATCAAAAAGAGAGTTAAACCTGGTCGACCTCCTAAAAATAAGTCCCAATCGTTAGCGAACAATGACCGAACTCAAGTTGTGCCTTCTCATGACAGTGACAAAACAAACTGTAGTGAGCCTGAGGACAAGGAAACTAGGTACAATACGGACGATTATGAATCTCAGTTAGTAGGATCTAGACCTTGTGCTTCTGATGTCAGTGATAACTTGCTAAGACTGGATAATATGGCTTCAAATGTGTCACCGGACAGTGGAATTCATGATCAGTCCATCGCAGGGTCACCTGTAGGGAATGAATCGCCAAACTCGGGGACATTGTCAGATACTGGTTCACACAATAATCAGCATGTGTTGCAAGAGCCATTGTGTATTCCCACATCAGTGATAATGTCCACGGGTATGTCTTCTGCGTCATCCACCATATCTGAAGTTCAACCTTCCAAAGGTTTATCTTGTGGAGCTGACTCGCTATCATTACATAGAACTGAAAGTGTAAACTCATCATCACAATCGAAATCCCCAAACTTAGGAAATGCATTAGGTGTCCCCATTAGCCATAAATCTTTGTCGCCGTCACGGGCGCACCTGATGTCTGACACAACTAAGACAATGGACACCAGTGGATGTGACAGTGAAACCAGTGACACTCATGTTTTCAGTGATGTCCATGTTTTCAGTACATATAGTCCCAGTCATTCTTCATCGTCGCCCTCACCTGGCAAGAAAAAGCAAAGGGTTGGCAGGCTTCCTAAAAAGCATGAGTTTTTAAGGAAACATAAAAGCAGCAACCTGTTAAAGACTGGTCAAATGCCTACTCAAATAGAGAATTCTAGTCCTTCATCACAGATTCTGGACTTTAATGAAAGGCTCAGCTCTCCTGCTTCTGTGTACGACATGACTAACTTGGATGTGTCACCAGAGAATCCTGGACTGTCTGCGCGGAAAAAAATTAAGTTAGATAATCCTACAAAAATTGTGAAAAAGAGATTAAAGAAAAGTTCAAGCAAAGAGACACTGCCGGAAAAAAATGAGATTAAAAAGAAAAGGGGTCCAGGCAGACCCCCTGGTAAAACGTCTGGCAGACCACCCTTGTCTAGTAAAACTTTGCATGTGACAAGTACAACTATCAAAAAGCGTGGTCCTGGAAGGCCACCAGGTACAGGGAGGCCGATAGTGAAAGTTAAACGTGGCCCGGGAAGGCCACCAAAACCGAAAGATATAACAGTAGAGAAGCGAAGTCCTGGACGGCCAAAGGGCTCAAAGAACATTAAGAAAAAAACAGAAAACACCAATGTTGGGTCTACAGAGGTTCATTATCATTATCATCACCCTGTGGCAGCTACAAGTCAAACATTTTCAAGTGTTTATCACCAGAGTTCTGTTTCTCATGAGTTGTTAAAACTACCTGAATTAGATATACCAGAAGTTCTCCCTATTTCTGATGCAGCATTAGAGCTTGATCTGTCCAATATCTCACCATCAAAACTTTCAGACTTTTCCCCAAGCAAACTGTCTGATATTTCTGCTGTGTCACAGTCACCTTACAAATTATCAGACATGTCACCTCCAAAACTGTTAGACATTTCACCAGCAAAGTCGTCCTCAAGTGAATCAGTGAAGCGGCCAAGAGGTAGACCTCGTAAACGTCCTTTACTTGATTTAGACAAAAGCGTGAAAACAGGTAGTGTGAAATTAACATCAGGGAAAGTTGACGATTACGAATTTGATACACTTATTCAAAGTGTACAAGATTCTATTAAGTCACAGTTTTCACCGCAGATGGATCAGGAAATTCAGGAAAAGATAGAAGATGATTTGGAAACCATAGAGCCAACTTTGGCACCCATATCATTGTCTCCAATACCAAATAGATCTCCAAAGATAGTTCCTAAAATACGCAAACCAAAACTCCATGTGATGATGCGGAAGCACAAAAAGCGGGGAAGGAAAAAGCATAAGCCTGTTGTCCCCAATACAACTGACTTTAGTAGTAGGTTTTCAGCTTTAGGCTCTAAATTCAAGCTTGCCAGCGCAAAGACAGCTTTGGGTTTTGTAGACAAAAGCAGTCAGATGTTTACCTCGAGGAGTTCACTCGACTCAAATACCAGTGGTAGTGTGCAAAGTGGACCAACATCACCATGTAGAGATTACCTGCGGAAAATCAGATTCCAAGCAAAGCAGAGAAGGAAGAAGATCCTTTTCTTCAAGTCAAAACACAAAAATATTGTTGATCCAATGTTTTTGTCAGATTTGGAATATGTGGTGAACAATTTTCATTGCTTAGCCATATCTGACCGTGAGGAAACCTTCATCCGTGTGAAACCTGGAGAAGTGCCATTACCTAGTATATTCAAACTCACCAAAATCAATGTGAAACCTAAGAAAAAAGACCAAAGGTTGCTTGGTGGATTTGTGGAAATGGAGCGTGAAAAGCCGAAAAAAATGAAAGCCAGGAGAGAATTTGAATTCATCGAAAAGTGGCTCGCTAAAGAGAAACTGAAAAGTGTAAGGAAGAAAAGTTTCTCCATTGATGACAAGCTCCCATCTCCTACAGACATCAACATCAACAGTCAACAATGCTTACCCCCAAAGAAACGACACAAGTTGTTCTCTGCATCTCAGGCCAACATTATCATGCAACATCAAAGCTTGCTTCAAAAGCAGGTGGCTGATACAGAGACACCAAACCCCATCAAACCTCCCGAAAAAAGAAAACCAGGCAGGCCTAGGAAGACACCGTTGCCTCCTGTGGTTTCAGCAACAGGTGTTGTATTAATTCTAACTCATGTTCATATTCAAACTTAATGACACTGTTGTTAAAATGTGTGGAACACAAACAATATCTTTTAGATAGTACAGTATACTATATTGCAGCACAATTATTTTGATGTTATGTGATCATTATGTTCAAGATTTTAACTGTTAAATTTTTGTGTCTTATGTTTTTTTACTGCAATATGTATACATATCTGTTGATTTAAACCTTAAAGCTGAATAACTTACCATTTGTCTTGTGATGTAATGAAAGATTTCAATATGTCAGTAACAATGCAACTAAACTTAATATACCTGTACGTACATTCATCAAAATTGCAATTAATGGACTAATAACTGTTTATTATTAAAGCTTCTTTAAAAAAAATGTCTTTTTTGTTGAATTTACAGATGCAGGGAGGTCAGAACATCAGACGTTGCCTGCAAAGCTGGGTGCAGCGCCTGCTGTAAAGCGGGGTAGGAAACCCAAAGTTGTTGTTGAAGCTCCACTGCTTGCCAACACTGCAAGTTCAACATGTACTGAGGCACAACAGAGTGCTGTCAGTGTGAATAAAGAGGTCTGTAGTACAAACTGTTCTAATCATGTGACAGTACAAAGTTGTGTCAACCCAAAAAGCCTATCTGAACAAAGTTTGAATGCATGTCATGTGCAGGATCATCCAAATGTTCATTTTGCAGAGTCTGTTAATTTTGACACTGAGAAAAGTAAAGATTCTTCATGCACCGAGTGTAGTCAGCTACAGGCGACTGTCCCGCAACCAAAACGACGGGGGCGCAAACCAAAGTATGCTCGTGTGGAATCAAATTCTAGTCCCAATGCCAGCAATTCAGCTGCTGCAGCAAAATTTTCTTCTAATTCTTCTGTGGCAGGAAGAATAAAGAAAATTTTACTTCAAAAAGGCAGGCGTATAGTGGGTAAAGTTGGAAGACCAAGAACTAAAAATCTCATTGACAGTGGTAGTAAGAATGATACAAAAACTACCAAAAAGTGTGGACGTTTTACAAAAATTTTACATAGAAAAAAGTCTCATTCTCGGTTAAAGGATAGTGATTTTGTCTCGCCATCGGATAAAAAGGTGGATAGTGCTAATTCTCAGGAGGACAAAGTTGCCGAATGCAAGTCTGTAGACACAGTAGAGGCTACTATTGAATCTGTGATAAGGTCGGTGAGTTCCTCGTATGAACCTCTGCCTTCCCCAAAACAGCAGCAGCAAGAGAGTGCATCAGACAATGTAGTTGATAGCTCTAAGGAACCAAAGAGGAAGGGAAAGAAGAAGCGAGGATTTAGAAAAGCGGACACTGGGTAAGAAATTTACCAAAATAAGAAAATGAATGTGAATAGACATTCTTCATATATCTCGACATTTTGTCTAGAAAATATATCAAAATTATTCCTTAAAAGGGACTTCACAAATGATAGGAAACTAGCCAAATTTATGGTCATTGTAATGAAATTCCACCTAAGCCCTTTTTATGCTTGATAAATTATTTTTTGAAACGTGAACCAGTTTCACATTTAGTTCTTGATCAGCAAAAATTTGTTAATCTACAATTTAGATGAGATTAAGCAAAATGGAGTTTCCTAATGGTAAGAAAGCATACATATTGTGTATTTATAATGAGATATATTTCATATTATCTGATTTTAGTTGTTAAGTTGTTTGATAGCTTTGAGACTAGGCTTGCTAAATTATATCTGTATTGGTTCATAAATAATTGAAGTTTATATATTGATATTTATCCTACAGAAATGTATCTGATTCTGAGACACCACTGGAAGGGGCTGCAGGGAAGAAAAAAGAATGCCCCCAAATGCCAAAGAAAAAATACCAGAAAGCAGGCCTGTTCTCCGATCACTACAAGGAAGAAGAGTAAGTATTTGTTTCTTACCATAAGGGCATTTATATTAGTATACACCAGCTATAAATATGGGCAAGGAGTAAATAAGATGTATACACTAAACACCAAGCAGGTCCTAAATAAATAGGAAAAAGAAAAAGCTATTATCCCCTAAATAGTTGGTTGTACTCCCAATTTTTCAAGAACTGTCCCATATAACTAAGTTTCAGGGGGGTACAGAATCTTTAAAATATTTAAAGCGTACCCCAAAATATACAATTTGTGGGAAACAGTGACCAAGAATTCATCAGGGTAAAATTTAACTATGTGACATTACAAAGTTCATTTGCAGAAAGCAGTTCAGTGATGAATAAGTATTGACCAAATTCTTAATGGTGGGAGACAACTATACACCATTTATATTGGCAGGAAACAAGGCGTGCTTAAGTTTTACTGGTGAAGAATAAGTTAACACAGATTTAAACTTTAGGAATAAGTATGCTCAGTATATATATACTGATGGGGAATAGGTATACACAAGATTATACTGGTTGAGAATTAGAATAAATATGGAAATAAGTATACATTATACATGTATTTATGTTGGTGAGGAAGAAGTGTATGCAAGGTTTCAACTGATGGGGAATAAGCATTTACAATATTTACATTGGTTGGGAATAAGTTTTCAGAAGGTTTATACTGGCGGAGAATGGGTATTCACAATATTTATATTGGTGGAAAATAAATATGCACAATATGTATGTTGCTGGGGAACAAGTAGACACAATATTTATTGGTAGGGAATAAGTATAAACTCTTAGCTTTCACTGATTGGGAATAAGTATACACAATATTTACATGGTGGGAAATAAGTATAGACAAGGTTCATACTGGTTGGGAATAATTATTTGCAACATCACACAGGTGGAGAATAAGTCAACACAATATTTATACTTTTGGAGGATAAGCACAAGATTTATAATGCTGGGAAAATAAGTATACAATTAAGTCAAAGTTTGCTTTGAACACAAACAGGAGTTGAAAACTTATTTTGCGAGCTTTCAAAAATGTCTGTTCCCTTTGTCAAGCAAAAATTGTAAATGACTACATGACTCTAAACTGCTGAAAATCATTATTCATACTAAACTGATGAATCTTATTCTGAAGTATACATAATATTTACACCTGTGGTGAGTAAGGATGTGTAGTATGTATACTTGTGGGGAACAAGTATACCTGAGGTTTATATTTGTGAATAAGAATACACAAGATCTATACTTGTTAGGAACAAGGATACACAGCTGGATTTTCATTGGTCAGTATAAGGTTACACAAGATATATACGCTGTTAAGAACACACAATGTTTATACTGACAGAGAAGTAGTATACACAGGATGTATTCTGGTAGGAAATGGGTATACAGAAATTAAAATAAGTATCTTCTAGACATTTGATGACAAAGAACACAAAATATGGTTTTACCCGTTATTACTGAAAAAAATAATTTATGGTTACATTGTGTACACGGATGTATGAAACACCTGCATTCAATGACAGATGGTAGACTACTTAGAGTTGTATTACTTCACAGTTCACAATGGAAAAGTTATCGGGCAATTGGGGTCATGTGATTTCTGGTGCTATCGTGTACAGCCAGAGGCATAGTGAAACTTGTATGGTGGTCGCCTCAACGGAAATCTCTTACCATTACCATAAAAACAGATATGGATCAGCATCTGCCTACCTCTCTGCAACAAGTGATTTAAATTGTAATATTGAAATAAAAGCATGACCTTGAACATTGAAAAAAAATCTGAATGCTGAGTTGTTTACATGTAAAGTGAGAAAAACAGAATATTTAGTGTGTGTGGAAAGATATATAGTGTTTGTGGGTTTTTTAGTTGATAATTAGCAGAAGTTGAATTCAGTGATAGTATGTTAGATTTTACAGTAATTAATAACCCTATTTAATCACTGCAGAAACTGGTTCTACAATGTAGTGTATGACCACTGATTTGAAATGAAGGTTTACAAGAGGCATACATGCACACTCAAAAATATCTATGTGATTGATGACTTTGCACTTCTAATGTTGATGCCACTTTTTTATTGAATGGAAATAAGTATTGACACAATAAAAATTACATATCGAGCATGCCATGACGTTCTGAAAACGGCAAGTTGTAATGGCCAATAATATATATACAGGACATTGGTTGCAAAATAAAAGGGAATTTGATTTCAAGTGAAAAAATAAAATCGTTCCTAAAAGCAACAATTTTAGGTATGCATTCGATACTCATTGTATCAAATCAAAAATAGAATCAAATTTGATGAATTCAAATAAAAATAAATAATCTTGTGCACAGTGTAAGAAAGCGTTAATATTAGAGAAGGCATAACATGCAAATGACTTTAACACTTGTAAGCTAAGGAAACTGGTAATTTATTAGGAATGAATGTTTAAAAACAATGTATGGCTGTATATCCGACATTACCTGTGATGATTAGATTAAGGTGATAAGACAGTAAGCAGCAGTGTTGAATAGCTGTGACTAATTACATGATTGGTGTGTGTACCTGTGTATTGGCATGCACAGCTGTCTCTAGTCAGTGTGTGGTATACCTAACCCACAACAAGTCACTTGATTGTTGTATTGTCAGATATTGATCTTGGTTACAGGAAGATATAGATACATCATGCGATGCCCTGGCCAAGAGCTTTGTTCTAATTAATTTATAACATTGAATGTAGCCAGCTTGGGGACTATTTACGGTTATGTTGTTTCTACAGGTATTTTCACTTATCAGCGTAAAATTGATGCCTGACTGGGGCATGTTAGTATTAGTATATACGCCAGATCCCAAAGGGAGTGGTAACCTTGACGGGCATTACATTAATACAGATTAGGGATAATGAGTCATGGTTCATAACTTCTAAGTTAATTACATAGAGGACACCATTTGGTGATAAAAAGCCCTAATCAATTAATGTAAATAGCTGTACGTTATTTTGCATATAAATTAACTTTTGATGGTATGATGACACATTAAATGTTCTGGTATGTGTAGCACATTCTTACAAATTGTGGGAAAAAATGTTCGAGTCATGTTCTGTTACATGCTAAGATGTCTTGACCAAAATTCATTTACAGTACAACTCCTCTCTAAAACTCGATCGCGAGGGGTCCATTAAGTTGGTTTGGGCTGTCCAAATGTTCAAATCTTGTATATATACAATAACTTTATATATAGATTATGTCGGTGACAGTGCATCATGATTATGTCAGTTTGACCTTCAGCTTTTGGTCAAAGGTCTTGAAAATTAGTAAACAGTTTTCAGATAAGTCTTTTCGAGGCTGTCAATTTTAAGTTATTGAAGCATGAAACTTGAATTATACTTGCATCATCTCCACAAGGGGTGGGCAGTGTATATTTTGGTCACCATGACCTTTATCTATAGGTCAAAGGTTAACTTTTATCTGGATTCAAAAACACTTTCAATAGCTTGGGTGATATGAGGATTGGAGGTCATGTATCATCGGTCAAGTACAAAGCAAGTAATGCCCAATTAGGGGAGATAATCTCCAGTTCTCTGTTACAAATACGTGTACCTACACGGTTATATTTGTGAACTAGCTCGTGGATGCATCACCACCATCATCTTAATTGTGTAGTTTGTTTCTCCTGTAACACTTGATAAATATTTAGTAAAAATAGTGTATTGTCTTGTTATGCGAGGTTTTAATTATTTTACACTGGTTTTATTTTTTTTAAATACGTGATTGACTGGGAGAGATAAAACCTATATAGCAGTTATAAGAGATATAAACCAGTAAGCTACTGTCAAAATGTTGTGACTGAACGGAATGTCGTACTGCTGTGTCGAAATGGTGACATTTCAGCATTATTGCAAACTTTTTGAATTTCGATGGGGGAGATTCTGCATGCTCAAAATTAAAATATACATATAGAATCTTACATGAGTTTCCATTTCATATGAGATTTATGAATTGAGTGTAAGAATTTTCTCGCTAAAATGAGAATTTGTCACGAGTTTCATAAATTGAAAACGAGTGTAAGATTCTTTTTATCACATAATCAAGATTTGTGGCATTTATTCGTGTAAAACGACAATTTTCATGCAACCTTAAATTGTAAAAAAAAAAAACATTTTGAATCCAGTGCATGAAGTTGTCCGTGACGTCATGTACTTGTCCTAGACGTGACGTCACAATTGAAACAATTGAAACTTACAACCAATTATATTAAATGGGTTACAGGGCTGATATAGGTCATATTAAATGGGTTAATCCGCAAAATAATATGACATGGGTATATTCACTAGATAGTACATTATGTGATAAATACTTGTATAATGTGTGTATATACCCCCTGGAGACAAAATAACCCTTGAAAATGACATATTTTGAGTTGTTCTTTACGATGAAATCTTAAGATCTTACAATATAGGAATAGTTAATCAATTTTATTGGTTGAAGTACTAAGGGTCCAAAATCGGGAGTATCCCTTCTAAATTAGGAGAGTTAGCAAGTATGTTTCAATGTGATAGTGGTCTGAAAAGAGCTTGATCATAATGTAAGTGTCCCTATCAACTGGATATCCGTGTACAACCTAAGCTGTACATGTAGTATAGAAGAAAAAACAGCTTATACACTGCTGGAGTGCTGCATGCAAATTGATTCTTTTCTACATTTTTTCACAACATCTTCTTTAAACACATATTTTAACTTCTTTATTTAAAGACTGAATTTATTTTAAAGACCAATTTGAATTGCAACACTTGGAGATGCTACCAAACCTTGTTGGGGTATTACTTGTTAGCTTCAACATTTATAAAAGATTTCAAGATCAAGATGTGTTATGAATGAAGGCTAACCAATCTTTCTCAAACTAGACCCAGAGTTTTGTCCTGAAGGTATATACTGGTAATGAAGTTTTGTACCTGTACAGGTGTAGTCTATTTTTGTACCAGTCGACTGCAATGAGTGTGGAAGGCACACCTGTAGT